ATGTTAATCAGAGCTCCAGGAGCTGACCTCCAGGAGGTTCAGAGAGGTCACATCTGGCCAAGAATCCTGACCCCATTCAGCAGAAATTTTTCAGATTCATCAAATTAATCATGGCAGAAAAACCAACCCCTCACACACACACCCACACACAATTATAAAGTTAAATAGCATTTGGTTTTCCTTCTTAGAGCACATTTCTATTTTCTAGGTAAGTTATCCCCATGAGCACACAGTAATTGCTCATTAAACTTAACCAAGAGCCAGAAGCATTTTGTCATATTTTAATACCCTGCACATTTCTTGCATAAGTAAGAAAATGCCTGTATCCACACTGTTATTCAGATTCCAAATTACCCTGATTTTTACTCTCTTGGGAGTTCGCAGAAGCTTGGAATTATGAGAAGCAGGCAGAAAGTTTCCTTTGCCACTGGCCTCCCTCTGTGGCTTGGATGCTTCTCTTCCAAGCGAGGCAGGTCAAACGCATGTCTCCTACCTTAGGTGACAGTCCTAGGCCTTGGGCTCGACATACGTTTCCTGAGGTTGACCACACAGTCACCTCACTGTATACAGTCAATCTTGTATACAATTAAGCTTGGTTTAATTACCAGTCCCAGCATTATAAAACTGAAATAATAAAGTAAGGAAATAAGCCACTGAACAGAACAGTACCAGCAGAAATATGACTCTATTACCTCTCCAAATGTAATTAAAAGCAGAAAAAAAAGCATTCTTGCTGTAGACTAAATATTGGTACACTCTGCCCCTAATTCTTACACTGAACCCTCCATAATTAACAGAAATGAACTTCCGTTGTTTCTAAGACACACTTGCTATATTTGTTCAAACAGCCAGCTTGGAACCATCTCATCTAAACTCTGACACCAAGAAGGCAGAGGCGTAAAGAATCGAAGAGACAAAAAGTGCCTCTTGGCTTTCTAATACAACCTGTTCATGTTTTAAACAGTTCTACTCTCATTTAATTCACTCATTTAAAGTACACAGTTTAAATTTTTAGTAGAGATACAGGGCAGTGGTTTCACCACTGCCACCATCCAATTTTCAAGCGTTCTGTAGCTCATGCCCCAGCCCACCCAAAGGTCAGCCTCCTGCCCTCAGCACTACTCACTAACAGCACGAGGCCACCACGGGTCTACTTCTCCTGCACACCTCCTATTCCAGCAAGCCACATAAACCGAGAGACACAACACCCAATCTTCCGCTAGTTTCTTTCCCTTAACAAAGCCCAGTCATTCCTCTGTTGTATCAGTAATACTCCACTGCATTGATCTCACATTCTACCTACCCATGGACACACAGTCCAGTATTTCTAACGTTTAGCTCTTCTGGACAATGTTGCTCTGAAATTCATGTGTAAGTTTACGTGGAGGCATCTTCATTTCCCTTGGATATGCCCTTAGGGGTTTGCTCATGAAGCAGTCATTTGATTTTGAGGAGTTCTCAAACTATTTCCAAAGTGGCCACACCATTGTACATTTCCACCAACACACAAGGGCTCAACACTTGTTACTTTCCACCTGAGTGTAAAGCACTGTCTCGTGATTTTCATTGGCATTCCCCCAATGACTAACAATATTCAGTAGGTAAAAAAATTGTCTTTTCAACAAATGGTTCTGGAACAACTGGATGTCCCAAGAAATAAAGCTGAGTCTTAGTTACTTCTCATTGCTGGGACAAAAGAAAGGAGGAAAGAAGAGGTTTATTTAGCTCACAGTTTGTAGAGTTCCAGTCCATGTTGGCTGGCTCCAAGGCAGGGTAGCATGGCAGAGGGGAAACAGTCCATGGAAGGGCCGACAGGAAGCAGCAGCATCCAGCCTCCCTTTCTCTGTTGTTCTATTCAAGCTACAAGTCTATTGGATGGTGCCAATCACCCAGGGAGGGCTTTCCCCTTATCCACATTCCAAACTATGCTGAACCATTTAGAGGACTAATTTAGCTACTGCACACCCTTGATCTATAATCACACACCCTGGATTCAACCGCCTCTATAAAGCCCCACTGATGAGTGTACAAGGTTTTGTACAAGTGTACAAGGGGTGTACAAGGGACATCTATATTCAAGCCATATAGTTGGGTCACATCTCACATCATAAAATACATTAACTTAAAAGAAATCATACATCTCAATGGAGCAAAGAGCTAAGTCTATAAAACTTGAAAATACAGAGTAATATCCCCTTATGTGCTATTTTCTAAGCTCCAACATGAAAATCAGAAGCACCAAGAGAAAACAGAGATAAACTAGACTATCTAAAAATGGAAAGATTTGAGCTAAAACAATACCATCAAGGTAGTGGAACAACAACCCAGGAAAATACTGATAAGGGACCAGCATCCAGAATGCACAGAGAGCTTAACCCTCAGAATTCAGCACATAAGGTAAATAATCCAATTTAAGAATGGACAAAGTATTTCATTGAATGTACATTTCTCTAAATAAAATGCACAAACAGCCAATAAGCACGTGAAAAGAGGGTCGACCTGTTCACTTGTACACACAAGGAAAGCCAGGTCCAGCCTGACACAGAAAAGCTCTAAGTACACAAAGAGCTGAGTTTGTAGCTAAGGGTTTGCTCATACCCAGTTAACACGGCCTCTCTGAGCCTTGGTTTCTTGTACAGTAAAGTGTATTTCACAGAACTGTTAAAACTAAATGAGTTAATGTAGTATCTCTAGCATGGAGGCTGGCATCGTGTGAGCCATCAGGCTATGTAAAGCCCACTCTTGTTTCTCTCTCTCCCTGTCTCTATTTTTTAAGCAGTGAGGGTTGAACTAAGGGCCTTGTGCATGCTATGCAAAGCCCTCTGCCCTTGATCCACACACCCAGTCCCATTCATCTCCATTTCCCTCTCTGTCTGTCTGTCTGTCTGCCTCTCTCTCTGTCTGTCTGCCTCTCTCTCTCTCTCTCTCTCTCTCTCTCTCTCTCTCTCTCTCTTTCTCTGGACATAGTCTCACTAAACTGCTCAGGCTGGCCTTGAACTTGCAATCTTCCTCCCTCAGCCTCCTGAGTAGCTGGGATTGCAGGTGTGCACCACTCCACCTGGCTTGAACTCACTTCTTTACAGTGATACCGTGGACCCCTGGCATGGGGCCTCTGTTATTTGTGCACAGACACCTATGTGATCCTGTGATCTCCCCTGGGAGACCATTCATGATCTGATCGAGACCTGCATATGGCTCAGCTTTGAAGGACAATGGTAACCCTAGCACATGGCCTGGAACTCCTCCTCCTTGAGAGGCTAACGTATCTCCTTTCCAAAAACAGTGGCTTCTAGGAGAGTACAGGGGTTGAGTCACACTCCTAAGAACTTGAATCCTGGGTTCCTTACTCCTTTGTTAATACACAGATTGTTTATTGCTTCTAAATTTCAGTAAAAAATTGCCTTATAGTAAAAACAAAACAATCTATGGTAAATACCCAGCATGGTACCTGGCGCATGTTATGAGTTTAACAAGTACAGGGACATCACTGCCAACATTTCACCTAGCGGGACTGGATATTTGTTTTTATTTGCCAATCGATGGCTAATATTTTCAGTGAGTGTGGTACACCCCCTTTCCCTCGCTGCCCCTTTGCCATCTCTCTCTATGTAATGCAAATACATTCCCCACTCTAAGACTCCCAAACACAGCACGACAGATACTTGACCTCAACTAACTGAAACCCTTGGCCTTATGCAATTACAACAAACCCTCTATGAAAACTGAAGACACCTAAAATTCAGTAGAAACACAACCACTACCCTCGTCAGACACCAAAATAGCCCACCTGTCACATGCATCAGGGAAGGTGACGTGGGACAGGTCTGGGGCTGCCTCTCAGGGGAGCACTGGAGGAGGAGGAGAAGTGGGGAGGGAGCTTGCCAGCTTCCTTTTTTAACTAAAGTAAAGCCTGCTGCACAGCTAGGAAACAACACAGACAAGTGTCATCGTTGACTTGTTTCGAGAAGCTTCTATGTGAAATCACTGGTCAAGATGAGGGAAGGCTCACAGAGGAGGCCTTCTGCTAGGGAAGCAAAGATTTTTAGCCCTACACAGTGAGGGTGATGACTAGATGCAAAGTTACTCGGGAATTCAGGACAGGACAGGTCGCTCTGTCCTGAGCAGCCTCCTATCTTAGCAGGTTGCCCTGAGAAGACATCTCTGAAAGCCCCACACCCGCCACAGCCACAGGCTCCACTGCATCCTGCTGTGCCCTGCCTCTCTGCACCTGTGGCCCCAGAAGCAGACTGCCTGGATCAGAGCACAGCTCCGCCACTTCCTGCCAAATCCTGGCACTTTCTGTCTCAGCAACGTGGGCAGGGCACAGGCCTGGGGAGCCCTGGGGCTCCCTGTGGGCAAGGGGCAATGCCAATGCACAGCCTTACCGAGTTGTGTCAAGGACTCTCTATGCACAAAAAGCTGAAACTGTTCATGGCTGGAAGTCGATGCTACACACATGTTAAATGAAAATAAAATCCATCACCTGACAAGCACAAATGTTCTGCCTCTCACTCATACGGCAGCTTCCTGATCATAACCAGGCTTTCTGGTTCATCTGTCTGCAGAGGAAGTGCACAGCCTGCACCTGTGGTCCGTATGACAGTCATGTTTACCTCTTCACAGATTCATCAGTGAACTGTATAAGGTACTAACAAAATCCGAGTCTGCACTAGCACGACCCAAGGCCAAGCCCAGAGAGTGTTTTGTGCCCTGGCTTAGGGCTTGCTCTGAAGCTCCCTCTCCAATTTTCCATCAGACACCACAAGGCAAGCTGCCAGGTGTGGGAGCAGTGGGCTGCTGCGTAAGAAACCTTCCTCCAACCAGCTGGAGGGACAGCGGGAGACGGCGGGGCCGAGGACACTCGGGGAAACTGAGTGCTTCACCCAATGCCCTCTGCTCCACGCCCACTGCACCCCGTGCGTCAGGAAGGGCAGAAACATCAGCCGAGGCCCCAGCAGCCCAGCTGAGGCCAGCAGCTTCCCCGCGGCTGTTCCCATTACCTTGCCCTGATGATCGTGTTTCATCTCCCAGCCCCTCGGCAGCTCCAGCTGCTTGTTGGCAAACATGTTGAGGAAGCCCACGAGGTCCCGGTTATGCTGGTAGCGTTCGAAGTGGTGCGTGTCCCGCCGGACTTTGGTGATCATGTGCTTCAGACACGTGTTGTTTGTAAACATGCGGTAGGCACTCTGGGGAGAGGACAGAGCACTGGTGTTAACCCGCGGGGCAGCCAAGTCTACACCCGGGAACCTCACCATGGGGACCGCCAGGAAACACGGACGGACTGGGGCTGCACCTTTGCCCCAGACCCTCTCACAGGGGCAGCAGACAGAGCAGGACACCTTGAACAAATGAACACAAAGCAGAAGGTCAGGTCTTTCCCACGGCTGGCGTTCTGCTGCCTGAAGGACACAAATGCTGTGGCGTCTCATTCCACAGGGACTCTAGATCCTAAAATTGATTTTGGCGAAACACACACACACACACACACACACAAACACACACACACAAAGTATACCAAGGTGAAGGGTTGTGCACCTCACAGCAAGTGAATACACCCGTTTTCCTCCAGCGTGGTGCCAGATCAGTCTTGCACACCAGGAGACTCTGGGCACACACACTTGGGGGGCCAAACTGTTGGGGTGTTTGGTATAAATCTAAATACTGGAGGCTGCTGCAAGGAGATGAGTGGCTCTGACAGTCACCTTCATCTGTGACCACTGTGGACTGAGGTATCCTTAGAGGATGAGCACAGTGAATAGACAGCACTCAGACTGTCCAGACTCTGTTCCTGTCTCTGTCTCTGTTTCTCTCTCTTTATGGCTGAATTTGTACACAGCTCCACTATACTACCTCATGAAGAAACGACTGTTTTGTCGTTGAATGCTGTAGACCTCATCTGTGCTACTTAAAGAAGATTCTAAAGTTGATTCCTCACCACAGGTCGTGCGTGTGTCAGTCACTGAACAGTGGTCTATGGGACACCGAGCACCTAGCAGCAGGAAGGCAGTGACCGTGTAGGGCAGCTTTCCTCAGCCATGCGGACGACACCCAGGAATCCAGCTGTGCAATAAATGACCACCCCGGAGTCCGTGCCTTGCAATCAGAGTCCAAGGGCTGTGGATTCTTGTTATCTTCAGGGCCTCGGGACACGTGACCGAGTCTGGGACCATTCACACCTCCCTTCTTGGTTCTGGTATTTGTTTCACTCTAAGCCCAAAGCAAACCCCAAAGATGCCAGAGTTCCTGGAAATCATTTCCATTTAATAAACAGTCACTGTCTCTGCTGTGTAGGGCACTGCGTTAGTTATTTGAGGCAGAAGACAAACGAGTGTGCAAGGCACTAACGCTGCTCCAGCCCTCCTGGGGCCTCCGCTGCGTCACCCAGCTCAGTACACTCACCACGACATGAGCCCTGCAGACCTGCTGCTTCCATCCCAGAAAGCACAGTAACTGGCAAGGTCACAATCGGTGGCTGCTTCCCAGCCCAGGGCCCGGGGGCCCCGAGTGACCACTAATGACATGATTTGCAATGAGAAATACAGCTTTGCTCACTGATGCCACTGATATGGTGGCTGCTGTTCCTGAAGTCTAATATAAGTTAAAGTGCTCGGTTCACCCACTCTTGCTATATGATTTTTGCTCTGCTTTAAAATACTTTCTCCTTTGGAAGATGATGGAAGGAGAGAAGTCAGTCTGCCCCAGGGAACCACCCGCGGATCTGAGTTTGGCCACATTTCCACACATATCTAAACGACAGTGCGTTTTCACGGCCATGTGTCCAGGTCCCGGCTGTCGGCGAGCTCGGGAGGGTGGACAGCGATGCCATGAGAAGATAGGGGTTCTCTCTGTGTGTGGCGACAGAAACAGCTTCGAGCCCTACTCTCTGGGATGCCTGGGGGGATAATTCTGACAGATAAGTCACTATATTAACGACTGTTCTGAGCCACGCATCTCTTGGTCCCCTTCACTTCCCATCTCATGTTCCTCAGCCAGGGCACTGTGAATGCTCCCAAGCCTGCTGGAGAAAAACGCAGGCTGCATCAGACAAGGAGCTGCGGCAGTTGGGGTACAAAGCCCATCCCAGCTGCAGCAGATAAAGTCGTCCCCTGTGTGTGCTCTGGAACGACAGAGTCGTGATCGGCTAACTTTCTTTAAGCCAGAGACCCTCAGGTTGGTCTCATAGTTAATTCTATGCTTTCATCTCCTCCCCAGGCAACGAGACATGGACCAGAGTGCCAGGCTCAAATGATCTTTGCAGAAAGCATCTGTCAGAGCAAATGAGGGAAAGAAAAGTTTCTCTGGCTAACAGGTAGCGAACAAATCACATCCCTTTCAAATCCGAGCAATGGGCTCAGGACTGCAGGAGTCCACATAAAACACACAGGGCAAACAGGAACATCCTTCCAGACTGCCACATCCCTACACAGAAACTGTTTTTGAAGAAACACAAAGCATATACATATCACACAGTGCACGTACTACAACGTGCACAGAGACACACATAGTGTGCAGAGCTGGAGACAGAATTCAAAGAGGGAATCTAAACTCTGGTTCACACAGAACTTCTGCAAGGAATCTAATCAGAGCTCTGTTACTTGTGCACAGGGACAAAGCAAGACAACCAGTCTGTTTGCCTTAATTTGCTCAACTGCAAGACGGAGTGATAATAATCCTCCTGCTTCTCTGCGGCCATGTGAGATCTGAATACAACATAACCAAGGCTGTAAAAATGGTTGGAAGACATAAAAACCACTAAAGAGATGCAGGATATAAGTAACTGAAAGACAAACAGGAGGCCAAACTTATCACAGGTGTAACTGATAGGTGATTTAACTAACACTGCCTTTTCCTTTCAGTCTTTGAAGATCTTGAGTGCGAATCCCACCCCATGTTACCTGCGGCCAGGGCTCCAACCCTCATTCACTCAGTGCCAACGCTGTCTACACCTGAGGACAGGGACGGGCCCCTCAGAGGAAGGAGAAGGAAATGACAGGGCTGCGGGGGAGGAAGTGGCTACGGGACAGAAAGCAGAGCTGGAAACAGAGGCCAGTGTGGCTGGAAGGCAGGGACACAGCAGAGCTGGGGACATGAAGCAGGAGGGCCTGCCCAGGGCCGCAGGGGCTCAGGCTTCGTGCAAGCGACTGTGGCAAAGTGCCAGGCTACGAGACACGGGGTGTCTTTACCTTCCGGGCTGAAGTTCAGCTGTCCTAATCAGATTAGAGGCCGGTTCTGCATTGGTTTCTTTGTCTTTTAGAAAAGGGTGAAGCAGATGGGCCTGATACAGAGTTAAATCAGGAGAGAGAAGAGGGCGCCTCCTTGCTAAGACAGCCTCCTCAAGACGTGGCCAGTGACTCGTGGACAGGGCCGGCCACGCCAGACCTGTGGTAGCCCGGCGGGAGGCAACATCTGGATTCTTGGGAGAACACAAAACTTTGTTCTCCCGTGCTGTGACTAAGCGTGTCCTCTGTAGATACATCTTACTATAGGCAGCTAAGTTAGATAGAGAATTACAGGGCTGGGCCCTCGAATGAGCCAGTACGGGAGATACCTGTCAGGTCAGGGAGACCTCAAGACAAAGGATCAAACAAAAGCACCCGCACACTTCCCTAAGGCTAAGCCTCAGGGATCCACAGATATTCTAGACAGGTATCCATCACCTTGAGGAAGCCAGGAAGAGCCACTGCCCAGCCCCTGGCAGGTACAGGCCCTGTTCCGTATTCACACCCGCTTCTGCATGACTACTGGCTTCCTTCCCCATTGGACCCCATTGAATCAATTTTATCTGAGCAACTGCACCTGTAATCTTACTAGTTGGCCACAGTTCTGTCCCACCCCATGCCCAGCTTGCAAGTTCCCAGATCTCCCCACGCTGGACCCACCTCACCTCGTGGTTTTGCTCTATAAAAGTCCCTAGAAAAGGTGGGGTGCTTGGCAGGCCCATTTGGGACCCCTTCTGTCTCACTCTTAGACACAAGCTTCTCTTGCTCAATAAATATATTCTGCTCTTAACCTCCGCTGTTCCTAAAATTCATTCTTCTGTTTCAGAGAGCAGGAACTCGTCCAGGCACCTAGTAGGTGGGAAGTTTCTCTCCCCTCTGCTGCTCTCTTCCCAAACTCCCCTTTCCTGCCTCCTTTTGTTTCTGGTCTTCCACGCAAGAACTCCCCAATGGCTGACCCACAGTCAACTGATTTCCATCACTGGAACTGCGCTGAATAGCGAACTCCTCAGAGCTTTGTGCACGGGCGCGGCCCTAGCTCTGGGTCTGAGACGTCAGGGACTCTGGTGGTGAGACAGCAATGTCACCGCCCTTGAGCATCACAGGAGGAAACGCTCTGCAGCCAGCTCTTAGGGACCAGCCACAATGTGAACAACAGCTAAGCCTCTCTTCTCTTACAAGTGTTCTTAGTGCTTTGATGACCAAATCTCCTGGCTTACCCCGCCTGGCCCTGATTTCACCCAATTGTTTTCTTCTTAGTAACAAGGGTAGGTAGGTTTCTGGTGCATGCTAAGATTTTTCGTATTGGAAAGCGCCTTCATCAGAGGAAGCAAACAGAACTCCGCCTAGAAAACACATCACCAACCCTATAGCGAGGCTTCTCCCATTCACAGAGAGTGGACCCACCCACTGGGACCTGCCACCCCCAAAACAAAACCTATCATAAACAAAACCAAGAAATGCCGCTTCCCAAAGGTTTCTGATGAAATCTGGAATACACAACCCGTCTTATACAGGAAGGATTTCCCACAATTTTCATACAGCTTTAGAGTAAAATGGGGAAAATTTAAACTTGTTAGTGGGAAGGACAGTACACACTATCAGCTCATCTATTTTGCATAAGCAATAATTCTTGACTTGTAAGAATATTCGTATGAATTTTTAAAACAATGTTTTTCTTCATTAAGGACCTTCAGTGATGGAATTGATATATTTTTAAGAGCTTATTAAGAGCCAGAGAAGTGATTTTTTGGCATGCATGCTGGAAATATTATTCAGTTACATATAATTAAATGCATTTGTTTTAAAACTATAAAAAGATATGGCACATATAGCTTACTTTTAGTGCATATTAGCTCTGCCGAACCATGGGTTTCCCTTTGGCATATCCATGCATACCGGTAACATTCCTGATCATTTCCCCTTCCCAGAATCTCATATTCCCGGCTCCTTATTCTTTTTTTTAATATAATAACTAAATTTGAAGTTAACAGGAGAAACGGTTTATCAAGGCAATTTTGGAAGAAATCTGGGAACAGCCAGCAGTGGGCAGAACACACCTGAAAAGGACCCCAAACCAGAAACACATCCACATTTTGTTTTTCAAGTTAGGTCAGCCAGAGGCTGCTCAGAAAATACTATTATGTAAATTATTGCTACATGATATCTATTTTTCTAGGCTATCTTTCAACATAAATTACTTTTTCAAATCAAAAAAGAATTAAAGCTTTCAAATTAGAATATTCCTTTTGTACGTTAAATACTCTCAATAATATAAACAAGGCATTCACTGAAAGACATAAAAAATTAAAGTAAAATACTACACAAAAATCAAGATATAAAGATCAAAAACTTTGTTTTGTAAGAAACCCCAGCAAAGAATGCCTGAGACCAAAAAAACTGTCCGACTTGCGCCATCCATTTGAACCTCTGAGACTGTTAGAAAGAAAAAAAGAAAAATCCAACTTCTTCAAATTTGCCACACATGAGGCAGACAGTCAAGCCTTAGGCCTTTTAGCATGCTCACACGTCCTGTCAGCGGGCAAAGTCCAGATAACTTACAGTGGGCCGGAGGCCATGAGCTCATCTACACAAAGTCTTCCCATTATCAGGGTTTCCTAAAGTTCAAGTCCTGACTTCCTGTGTCACAATTACTTAAGGGGCCTAAAATAAAAAAAGGCGCTCAGGACCTACCCTAGAACCCCTTCACCAGGGTCTCCAAGGAACCCAGAGCGCGCATTTTAAGGTCTCCCACGTGAAACCGCAGCTCTAGACCAAGCTGTCTGAGCCCCACCTCCACCTCTGCTTGAAGCAGTGCAGTCAGGGTAGTGGGCTCAGATCACAGCCAGACAGTGGCCTCAGAGCCCCGTGTGACATCACAGTGACTGGCAGTGGCCTGCGCAGAGGTGCACACACCTTGGACATCACACACCAATCCGGGGTGTCCTTTACTGTGCAGACTCCTCAGAGCTGCAGCGTGTGGGTGTGGCTGTGTGTCTGAGGTTGGACAAGTGGGAGATGTGAACTTCTCAGCGTGCTCAGTGCCACAAACAGCCCGTCGTGGCACATGTGTGCTCATGACCACGGACCTGCACACTCCGGCTGTCTCATGTCTAGGACGAGTTCTTACCCAGCCTTTAAACCCGCCTCTGTCCGCTTCTGAGTGCCCTCCCTTGGCGTCCGGCCCTTACTCCAGCAGCACAGCTTCTAGAGCTTTCCATCGCTGACTCCCGACACTGGCCAGGGCCTGGCGCGTGTCTTTGAACTCGGACTCCCACTGCCACCATCATCTCTGTGTCCCTAGCACTGAGCACAGAACCCAGCAGGTTGCAGAGCGAATGGGAATGGATGGCAGGTCTGACTTCCCTGAGACCTCCGCCCTGGCATCTTTGTTCAAAGGTAACCCTCACCCCAGGAAGCTGAGATGAGTGAATTCAGGAAGACAGGGATTACCAGAAGTGAGTGCAAAATGGGCTGAAGTCAGTGAACGAGCCACACTGAAGACCTCACCCACAACCCTGCGGGTTCCTTCTCCTCCTCCTTCTGCTGCTCCCTAGGGTGTAACATGTTTTGCTCAATTTCACATGTTCTGCTTTTCCATGCCTTCCACGGATCCCTCACGTGACTTCCCTGTGCTTGTCCTGTGTCTCTTAGTATCCACGTGTGATTACAGATACCCGGGCCACCCTCAGCCTGTCCTCTATCTGTGCACCCACCACACGGCGACCCCCTCGCCATGGTGATTCCTCCTCCTCTGCTCTGCTCCCCCAAACTGGGTTCCTGCTGGTTGCTGCTGGACTCCAGTGCTGCCCTCACTGTGTCCATGCATTGGCCTTCCTCTAGCCGCTGTCTTCAGCAAGCCTCTCTGCAGCTCTGAGACCTCGGGATGACCCTTCTCCTGTAACCTGAACCTGTGTCCCCAGAAATGCACAATCCCCAGCTAAAGGCATCAGACCGAGCAGGGCATCACAGGGCGCCCGCAGGAGCAGGGTCAGTGTCCTGCAGAAGAAGCCTGAGAAAGCTTCTTGCCCCTTTTGCACAGGGGCTTTTACAAACTGGAAGCGGTCATTCACCTGACTCCAAGCTGGCCATACACTGACCTGGGACCACGATCCTTTAAGACAGTGAGGATTGAACACACGCTGTTTATAATCCACTCCGCTTTGGGGGTTTTGTTTCTGTGGATGCTGGTTTCAGAGCAGTCCGAAGGACCGAGACCAGCTGTGTGGATGAAGCGAGTTAAAGTACAGCAGTGCTCGACACAGGGCATGGCACACGCTGGGCCAAGGTCACTCCTCAGGGACAGGAGCGAGGAGGACGCCGTCCAGCCTGCCGCTGTGCCCCGAGGTCTCCTGACATGCTACTCACAGGGTTAGAATGCAGCACGGTGAAGAACTCTGGGCTGATGAGGAACTTCACGGGGGGCGACTGTAAGAGGAGCGCGAGCCTGGATCTGGAGGTAGAGTGCGGCAGGACGCTCTCCCGGCGGAAGTCTGCGGACAGAGCACAGGCGGTCAGGGGTGCCCTGCTCCCCTCGGCTCACACTGCCGTGGAACCAAGCAGCACCCGCAGCCTCTGCTGCTGGCTCCATCTCCCAAACACTTTGCTGTAAATCTGCACATAAAACCCAACTCTTCTTGATTACGTCGAGATAAAACTGAGCAACATTTCTCATCCCGTTTCAATGTTTAATGCACCTTTAGATTTTTCTGTTAAACAACTGGACTCTTTTTCCACCACCCCACAGATTTGGAGATGATGGAAATCTATATTCTACATGGTTTTGAGATTCTTTTCTTAGTTCTGATAACAGATCAAGGCTTCGAAGAGGTTTGTGGCGAACTCCAGCTTTTGAGCTGGATTAGCAGCTCTGGGGAGAAAATCAAGAGCTCTCCTTACCCTCCTTCTCTGCTTTCAGGAGGTCACGGGTGCGAACCAAGCCCAGGCTCTTACCTGCGCTGGTTTGGTGAAAGTCGACTTCCTCCCCAGCCCCATCCATGGCACTGGCGCTTTCCTCTGGCCTCTCGTTGGTCATGGTTCTGCGAATGCTCTGATAACTGAACGCAGCAGACGGGGGTTATGGTCCAGCAGCTCCCAGGGTGGGGCTCCTGCTCCCCCAAACCCAGAGATCGCCTCACCTCCCAGGCTGAGCTGCCTCCTCTCTTGCCCCAGTGCCCTGAGCTCATGGCCATCTGTCCTTTAAGTAAACTACACTGCACTTAACGCCTCTGTCCACTGCTTGTGGAACATCGTCCTGACAAGTCAATAACCCTTTAAAACAAAGTCATCCCCCTTAACCAAAGAAAATCAGATGTCTAAATTGTTGAAGGAAAAGCAATTTTGCATTCCACAGAAATTCGTTAAAATAAAAAAATAAGAATGGCTGATTGAAATGCTTTGGCTGGTAATAAAGATGCAGCACAAAGAAAGACTGCAGAGGTCAGAAACTCGGCTTCCAGTTGAGCTGAAAGCCATCGCCTAGGGTGAGCCCAAGGAGTCCTCGATATTTATTCCTCTCTGATTCCCACACAAGCTGCACCCAGGGAGGTCCAGGGAGGTCTGGGACTCTGGGTGGCAGCCACAGTGGGAGGACAGGACACCCAGAGACTGAAGGGACATCTGGGCCCTGGCTCAGAGCTAGGTGACAGTCCCCACCCCCACCCCAGCCTCACCGCCGGTTCAGCTGCTCCATCTGCTGGATGGAGTTCGACCTCTGCAGCACCTGCGGGGCCGGCGGGGCCGTGGGCCGCTGCCACGTCGTGGTCCTGTTCACGTGGTCCACGTAGAAGATCCTGCCGTGGCTGTCGATACGCGCCTCCCAGTCTAAAGGAAAGCGAGGGACGGGGGGGGGGGTGCTCATGAGGTGCAGCAGCCTCAGCACCCGCTGTCTCCCCAACACAGTAAGGCGAGGCTGATGACACAGGCAGCGAGGACCCCTGCACCAGCCGGACCCCTCCCCAGTCCTCTGGGCACTGCCCCTGCTGGGACAGGTACAAAGCCTGTCCCGTGTGCACCACATCAACCTCCTAAAACAATCTCTACATGCAGGGAACCTTTTCAAATCTGCCCACAACAATCACACACAAGAGCATCAGCAAGGCGTCTTCAAAACACATGCAGCGGGTATCCGAACTTCCTAATCACCGCGACATCAGTATGATGCTTATTTATACCTCAACCTGATTTTCCTCCGTTTATTCTTGTTTAGGTGAAAGCCCTAAGCTAGAAGCTGCAAACTTCCACATATGCACAGCATTTATTCATAACTGTAGTAAATTTAGTTTTCAAAAGAAAAATGGATAACTAACACTAGCCTCGTGATCAATCAGGACCTTCGTCTACATGCTTCAATTTTCACTTTTCCGAGATAAATACATTTCCAGACCAAGGACAATTGCTTCCCTCTAATCTCGCACAGACACAGCACTTCAAAATATTATTGCCAGGCATGGTGGTACACACCTGTATCCCAGCACTCAGGAGGCGGAGGCAGGAGGATCACCAGATTTTGAGACCTTCCAGGGCTATGTGGTGAGTTCAAGGTCAACCTGAACTACATAGCAAGACCTTGTCTCAAAAGAGATCCCAAAATATTAAAAGTTATTTAATTGTACTGATGCAGTCACAGTAAGTGCATTAGTCTCAGTAAATATACACGTACATGTGAATATCCAGTATAAAGAGAGCCAGAGACCTCTGCTCTGGGATTCCCAGGAGGCTGTTACAGTTTGTGTTTAAATGTCCTCTCAAAGCATCATACAGTCACGGGGGCAGCCTTTCAAAGGCAGCTGAGTCTAGCATTTGTGAGTGGTTTGCTGTCTAGTGCTGGGATTGGTGGTATGAGTGCTGCACCCTCCCGGGGCAGGGAGCCAGCACACTGTATAAGGGAGGGAAGGGGGCGTGTCATTCCCTTTTGCCTTTTCTCCCTTTTGCTCTTTCGTCTGGTTGCTTCTGGTATCTGCTGCACCTGCTATGTTGCTCCTGTGCCAAGCCACCCTGCCTTGGAGCCAGCTGAGTACAGACTGAAACCTCCACAAACTCTGAGCTAAATAAACCTTTCTATCTCTCATTTTGGGTGTCAAGTATTTTGTCACAGTAACAAGAAAAAGGTAACCAAGACAGTGGTCATTCCCCTAATTAAATCCACAGAGCACAAGCTCATCTTTTCAAGGGTAAATTCTTGGGAATCTACTGCAGGTGGGAAGAGTGACTTACACAGGAAAAACAAGACCAGCAAAGATCTATTCCTATCCAGAGAAGCCACTTACACATTTATATTTCTGGGTTGTTATTCAACACCAACCAGCACGTCTCCTGAGCAGTTCAGCTATCTCCAGGCTCTCCCTGCCATCCTGTCCTCTGGCTTTTGCTCAGATACATGGTCTAACCCTGGGCCCAGGAGGAAGGGATGCAATCCCTGACACCTACAGCATCCATACCTTCGGGGACAGAGCAAAGGTCCCACATAGACCCCAGGCAGGAAAGACAGGCACAGCGGCTCCGAGATGGCACAAAGCCTCTGTTGGAGAGGAAGTCTATCTTTGGTTAATTTCAGCGTTGTGATTTACAGCAAATGACAAACTTTTTAGGCACAGCTCCAACCCATCAATGGGACATTTCCAAAAGACTTCGTACATAGCCTGGGACACAGTGATGAATGCTAAGTATGAGAAAGCACCTTCAGAGGTTCTAAACCCTTTGATCTACTCCATCGCTTGGCTCCACGCCTTCCCATCTCAGAGCTTTCAGAACCAATGACACCATCTCTCTCCTGCCTCACGATGGCCAAGCACAGACCAAGGTCAAACCAAGGGCACATGAGAACCAATGGCCACACTTCCCTCCAAGAGTGTTTATAGTAGCCCTCAATGCTAAAAATGCAGATCAGTTCAATGAGAGAGGGAGAAAGAGAGAGAGAGAGAGAGAGAGAGAGAGAGAGAGAGAGAGAGAGAGACAGAAAGACAGAAAGAAAGAGAGAGAGAAAGAGAAGAGAAGAGAAGAGCGACCCCCTACAGGCAGCAGAAGGAAATGCTGCCAACCTTCCAAGCAAAGTTATTGCTAGAATGTGGCTCTAAGTTTTCTGGCAGTGAGGCAGGAAAGAAAACACACTACTGCATATTTTCCATTTCTTGACAAAGAAAGTTTAAAAATCTTCAAAGATAGAACTTTTTCTTGGAACTGAATGGGGGTCTGCCTAATGAGACACACGTGTAGCCCATTTGAGGGCTGAATGGAGGCAAACCGGGGTGGCCGAGAGGAGCCTCAAACATCTTCACCGCAGGTCCCTGCCTGGAGCATGCCAGGCATGACCAGAGATTTAAAATTTAAAAATAATGGTTCCTGCGTTCACCTTCCACAAAGGCCAGAAATAGCCGTAAATCACAGATCAATAAAAATATTTCTGTGTCCAATGGGGAGAATAAAAGCTTTGCTTTCTGAGAACACAGAACGTTGAATGAATGTATATTACAATGAAGGATCTGGGCCTTGACCACATCCAGCAAAGCCATGTCACGGGGCACCTGCTTGCACATGCTGTGTGTCTTTCTGTTAGCCCTGGCTTCTCTGTGGTATAAGAAAGCATCAGGGCATGCGTTTCTTTCGGATGCCAAAGTCAGGCAGGCAGAGCCAGAAGCCTGGGAGGTCAGCACTTTTTCCTGCTTCGCTGTCTAACAAGAAGTGCAATTAGGGTGCAAGGAGAACAGGACTGATGAATGCTGTGTGTGTGTGTGTGTGTGTGTGTGTGTGTGTGTGGTGCACTAGCCTGTGAAGTAGAAGGTCTTGTGTCTGATCACAGCTTGTCACACAGCTCTGGAAAACTAGAAGACAGCACTTGGTATTTTCTGAGGTCCCTTCTGACTTTAAAATTCTATGAATCTATAAAACGGTATCCTTTGTATTACCCTAGGACCTAGCAACATCTCGGTATCAGGTTCTGTGTCTTATGGACAGCCTGCAACTTTCAAGCTCGACCCTGATTTAAAGTTAAGCCCCCCAGGCCCAGCAGCTCTGGGGCTGCAGAGGCAGGACTCTGCTGCCACCCATCCACTTCGGCAGCGGCACGCTCAGTGTCACTTGGGGGGGAACGCTGCAGGGGCACACGGTATCTCACTTCCTAAAGAACTCTGTGAACACTGCATTCTCAAGGTATGATGGCCCCAGACAACACATGCCAGGATCCCTTCGAGGATTCTGGGATTCTCAGGACACGCTCCCAGCCTTCCATTCAGGCTCTGGATTCAGACTCAATAATCTCCATGTTTTGCAGCTCTTCCAGGAGGTTCTGAGCCACACTGACATAGATTAATATGAATTTAAAATGGCAGCTAATTTGGAGCAAAGGCCACATTTCTCATAGGAAGAAGAATGAGTTGGTAAGAACCTGTACTTCAGCCAGTATGCCAAGATGAGCCCCAGGACCAAGAAGACTTTTATAAGTTGCTGAGGTTTGCATGTGGAACATCCCCCAGAGGCCCAAAACAAGAGAGGGTAGTCCTCAGTGTGGCGATGTTGGCTGGTGGAGGAAATCTTGAGACCTAGAACTAATGGGGTCAGGTCCTGGGGGTGTGCCCGTGGGGACCCAGCCCCTCCCCCTCTTCCCACCTCTTGCCTTTACATCTAGGCCAGGAGGACAGCAGCTTAACACGTGCACCTGCTCTGCATCACATGCCACCACCTCGCCAGAGGCTCTGCCGGAAGCAGTGTGTCCACTAGACCACAGACTGCAACCCCAAATGGTGAGCCAGCTGATTATCTCTGGTAGACACCACATGAATGGAAAGCTGGCCGACACAGACACCTGAGACTTTACCATAAATACAACCCTTCAAACAGCTGGACAGTGGGGAGTCTGAAAGCCAGTAAACCTAACCCAAGCCCACGGCACCGGTTCCCCAGGCAGGGCACAGAAGCAGGAAAAGACCAAGTTGTTCCCCTGATATGCGGACCACCACGTGACCAGCTACAGGGCTGAAGCAACACAGCGGGCACACCCAAGCCCTCTTAGTTGGGTTTTTTAATCTGCAAAGGGCAGAAGTCTTTTATCCAGTGCTAAGGGAGGCCGAGGCAGGAAGACTGTAAGCCTGAGCTCAGCCTGGGCAACTTATGACGCAGAGAGACCGTGACTCAAAATACGTAAATACCTCCACACATAAACGAAGTGCTGGGGATGCAGCTGAAGGAGGGGCTCGGGTTCAGTTCCAGTATGGAAAAACAACCCAATTGGTTGACTTTCATGGGTCAGTACAAATTTCGAATAAAACCTGCTTGATCTATTATTCAAACACAACAAAATGGGAAGCACTGGAGAAACGTGAGTTACCATAACAAACAGCACAGCTGGCAGCCTCAAACACCCTCAAGCAGGTAGACTGTCAGGAGACCGGCCAGGCTGCTCCGCCTGACCAGGAACCTTTACTTGGGCTGCAGAGGAGGAGAGATGGCCCCGCTGTTCCGGCAGGGGACAGCTGGAGGTGGTAGAGTGTCCAGGGAGACAGCAAGGCAGACAGCTGACAGGGGTGGGCGAAGAAGTGACCAGGCAACTATTGGAGGCTGACACACACAGGCATGCGGACAGAGCGGGCAGCAATCGGGTACACGGATGCCCTCATCTGGTCAGACAAACTCTCAAATTTGTGAATGGCATAAGTGGTATGCTGCTAGAATGCAAGTGTGTGTGTGTGTGTGTGTGTGTCCCTAACCTCATTTTTAGAGGGAGCTGCTTTCGGTTCAGAGTCTTTATAACACAGCAGTTCTGGTTATGTTTTACAAAGTGATGTCATTTGATTGAATGGCAACTAAATTAGTACAAAGGCACGTTTCTCAGTGGGGACTCTATTAGAATTCAGGGTGGGACAATTCTCTGTCACTGACATGGTGCTGTCACTGCAGGACGTCTGGAATCCCCGGCCTCTGCCACTAACACCAAGGCCTCTTCTCCAACTCCGCTGAGAGGAGAGCAGTCCTCACGCTCCAGACGTCCAGTGGAGGGGACGTGTTGGCCACCACCCCAGAGGTCACCACATCAGAAGGAACACAGCTGAGGATCCCCACCTGCGCACATTTACCCCCCAGAGCATAAAGCCAAATGCTGCTTTTACTGGGGCTATACCGGCTTATTAAAGGGAGCTAGAGACTGTTAATACGAAATTCCTCAGACAGATTTCATCCACTTCACCAAGCTATCAGCACCGAAGCAAAGACATGGGGCGATCACAAGGAGAGGTCAGAAATTCAGCAAGGAAGGACCTGTCTTTACTGACTATCATGTAAAGACAAAACTGAGGTTCAGCAAATACCAGGGCAAGTGGCTGTGACCAGGAGAAACCAGTCACCAGTGTGCCACGCGTGCTTGGCCTCCTGGGAAGCCCCAGAAAACAGTCAGCTCACTCCTCCTAACCCCCGCGCACACGGGAGCTCGCTCTCAGCACTCTCTGCCGCCTCCCTTCACGCCCTCCGTTATACCGGAAGGTGTTCCCGGAGGTCCCCCTTTCCTGCCGCTCAGTTTTTCTCCAAAGGAAAACCACAAGGACAGGTCTCTTGCTCTTCCACCGGCTTCACATGCCATATGACTAATCCTTGGGTTACTTTTTCAAAATGCTGCTTAAAGCATATGTTACCTATGAGTAGCAGCCCTGTTACCCAAGGTGTGGATGAAGGAAAAATCCACACCCAGCAGAATCTGAAGAGGCTCCATCTAGCAACCGGGAAACCACGCAATACCCCAGCTCTCATGTGATCCTCACCAAAGCGAACCTCACAGCGTTTCTGCCCGAGAAAGGCAAGCGCTCTGCTCCTTACACCCCACGCTTCACACCCCAGAGGGGGACCGGCCTGATGAGCAGGGAGGAAGGCAGTACCAGGGGCAGCAGGGCCACAGGGCCAGCCTTCTTCCACCTCCCTCTGTCGCCCAGGCTGCACCACCTCTGGGCACCCGCCCTGCTCCCTCCCACAGAGCCCAGGGGTGTCTGGGATTTAAATAGAGAAGAGCTGTGTCTAGACCTCTGGAGGACGAGGGTCGCCCATGCCTGCTGACGCGGGCTGTGTGGCTGTTTTCTCTCTTTCACGGGCTAAGTGTGTTCTGGAAGCATGGACACTTCTTGCTTCCGCCCCCCAGCAGCAGGCTAATTTCTGAAATAAATGAGCTTTTCCTGCTTCACATCCTCAGTGATTCGAGTGGACCGGGGAGGGTTGGTATATCACAGAGCACAGCTTCCTAGACATCTACAACCCGTCTGCTAACTGGAAGACTCTGAACTGCTCTCACCACCTGCCTGCCCACACCCTCTGGATGTGTGTCCAGGATCGCCATGCAGGGGCCTTTTGCTGGAGGCCTCTCACTCCCCAGACACTCGGAGTCCTCCTCTTCCTTCTCCTCCACTGCTTCCTCCTGCTCCCCCCCCCCCCCGCAGGGTCCAGGAATGGTCCACCCGCCGCCCTGCACCCAGCACAGAGGTGGCTCTTCCATTAACAGCTGCTCACTTGGCGGGAGGGCCTCATCCACCCGCTGGTACCGGCTGACGTCCTGGCGCACAGAAGGCAGCGACCGCAAGGGCTGGTGGCCATTGGCTGGAGAACCTAGAATAAAGGCAGAGTCACCCGTGTGTGGCCTCGGTGACATCACAAGATCACTGAGCTCCACCTGGAGTCGGCTGGACTCTGCGGCCCAGAAGCAGGAGGAGGGGACGGCAGCTGAGGGCTGGGAGAGGCCGGGGACTGTGGGCATCCTGCGTGTATGGCCCCCATATCCACCCTGCCCAGGGCTACAGAGCAGCCACAAGACAATGAGGGCAGAGAACAAAACCAGAGGAAAAGGAGGGGAAACTGAGGTCAGAAAGACAAACTACAGGACAGGAAAATCCTTCCTATTTTGGCTGAAGCATAGGAGGCCGCCCGTTGACAGGTGGACATGTCACTAACAAAGCATCTTAAAGGCCTCGTGCTGGAACGCACAGGACAGCATGCCATGTGTGTCCGGGTCTCTGGTGCTGCACAGCTCCCTGGCCGGGGGTAGACATGGGGCCTTTCTCATCGCGGAGGGGACAGCAGTGAGTAAGCAAGCACACTCTGACCTTCTGTTCCCCAGTATCGGAGGGGGAGACTCAGTGTCCCTAATGACCTCTGTGGGTCCCACTGAGTGGCCCACGCTGCCCTATTTGGTTTCCCACTGGAGTCCCGGATCATCGTGTGGGCCTGCAGGATGCCTATGCCCGGCCTCTTATGCATCCAGAGACCACTGCCCCACCCCACCCCTAGCCCTGAAAGCACTGGCATCGAGCTGAGGTTGAGGTTGGTCTGCATGTGCATCTGCCCTTGCCACAGGCTGTGGGGTCCCCAGCTCCGATCCAGCAGGAGAAGGCCTTGGGACTGTGCCTGCGTTCACCCCTCTCTGGATCTCCCCACCACACCACCTCGCCCCGCCTCTGCCCACCCTCCCCACCTGCCCTGGCGCACCTACCTCCCGCGGCGCCCTCCTCCAGCGCAGCTGCCCCCTCACAGGCTCTGGCATCCTCGCCCACGTCCTCCTGGGCCTCCTCCTCTTCCAGGGCCTGGCTCCCGCTCTCATTCTCGATGGCCGAGGTGCCCTCCAGGCCGGCCCTGCGCTGCCAGATCTCACCCAGGTCCTTGGGCTCAGGGCCTGCGTCCTCCTGTGCTTCGGGCACCTGCACAGCCGGCAGCATCCCTGTGCCCGGAGTGCATGCGGGCTCTGGGCCTGGCCCACAGCTGGGCGGCTCAGCAGCAGCAGCACAGGCCCCGTCCTCATCCTCCTGTGAGGAGAAGGCTGGGGTCCCAGGGGGGCGCGCGCTCTCCAGCGAGGACAGCTGAGTGGCCACGCTGTCATTGCAGGAGCTGTCTGCGCCCTCCAGGTCGCTCTCACCCTCGGGCCTGGTGCTAGCCTCGCTCACGCTCTCCGTCCTGGCTGGGTCGCTGGGCTCAGTCTCCGAGGACACCTGTGAGGGCTCAGAGCCCTGGTCCAGGGACTCAGTCTCACTGATGGCCCTTCGGCTACCCCCAGACGTGTCTGGGGTACCCGTGTCTGCCCCACTTGCGGGCTGCTCGGCCTCCTGGGAGCCACATAGCTCGGTGCTGCCCTGCTCCACCTCCGGATGGGAATCAGGGCCAGCAGCTTCGCCGTCCTCAGGGGCTGCATCCAAGGGGCCATCAGCCAGCTCTGGAAGATCCTCCAGCTTGTCCTCCTGGGACACAGCCTCCAGCACTGAGTGCTCCTCCAGGTCCACCAGGTTGGTGTCCTCAGACTTGGTCTGAGAGGTCAGGCTCCCCTCGTCGGCCCTCGATGGCCTGCTGAGCATGATCAGCCCTCCTTCCTCCTCCAAGGAGGATGGGTAGCCGAGGTCCTGCTGGAGCTCGTGGTCTTCCTCATCCGAGTCAATGTGCAGCATGGCACTGAGCCTGGTGTCAGTGGGAAAGCTGCTCCTGAGTTTTGGAGAGGCGCCCATGGGCCGCTCGGAGGCTGTGGCCCCTGGCCGGGCAGGGCCATCGTGTTCCAGAGCATCTAGGTAATCATTGAGTGAGTCCTGGCGGCCCCTGGGCGGGGAGGTCCTGGAAGAGGTAGAGGTCAACTCCTCTGCGTCCATCTCCAGGGTAGAGCTAGTCCTGAAAGAGTGCTTGGGCGTCCCATCCGCGGTACTGTCCTCAGACACTGCACCATTGGCACAGCCCGGGCTATCCTGGTGGCTCCCAGGCATGTCCTCGTCATCAGACGGGCTCCCGAGGTCCCCGTTCACGGTGCTGACTCCCAGGATCGTGCCGACGGCCTCCGGAGATGCATCTGGAGGAAGAAGCACTGTGGGTAAAAACAGACTGGAAACAGCAAGTGATCCGTTTTCCTGCAGGTGACTCAAAGGGACCCTTCTCTGCCACAGAGCACCCTCATGTGTAAATGCCACATTCTCCTTGGGGCCAGAACACTAGGGGACATAAATCAGACAGACAAGCTGAAAAAATTTGTATAGCTTCTCCTCTATGAGAAACCCAAAGTATAATTAAATTAAGGAGCTAAATAAGAGACAGATGGTAGGAAACAGGGGGATAGAGCTTTTGCACACAGGAAAGGACCAAGAGAGGGAAGAAGGGGGGGGCAAGGAGACATAAAAAGTTTTAAGAGGTATTGTGTACACGGACCAACTCCCCATAATATGCACAATCATTATGCACCGAAATGTGCACACATAAAAAAATTACAATAGCTGGGTGTGGTGGCACATACCTGTAATGCCAGCACTTGGGAGGCCGAGGCAGGAGAATCCCTGTGAGTTTGAGGCTAGCCTGGGCTATAAAGGAAGTTCAAAGGCCAGCCCAAATTACATTGTAAGACCCTACCTCAAAAAAAATTAATTATCGAGTGAACTTCTAATAACACCACCCAGTCCAGAGTGCAGCTTCCCACGGCAGCTTCCTGCTGGCGATACCAGTTTAAGCCCTGAGAGCAGGTACAGTGCCAGCTGGGTTGGCAGAGGAGGTATAAACATCAGCAATCGCTGGAAAATTCTGCAGCCAGTTTCACAGCTGCGTGACACAGCTTTTCATAAAGAGGCTCGCCCGTCTCAAAAACTGCCACAGGTGAGCATGTTTTGGATGGACCCAGATTTCAACTCTGTCCTGACACAAACTGCCCACCGAGGGGGAGGGGCACGTGTTCACGGGCAGCAGGGGCCTCACCCTCGTGCGCAGAGGAGGTGACTTCCACCTTGAACTGCAGGTACCCGCTCACGTGGTCGGCCGGGAGCCTCCTGCCCAGGTTGTAGCTCAGCATCTGATCCCTGCCGGAGGAGACACGGGGTCGGTCACCCTCTCTACACAGTGTCTGGCCTAGACTTCTTCCCGCAGCCCCCCAAGATTCCCCAGTTCCTGTGAGACCTGAAGACTTGGAAGTAAACAAAATATAGGCTCAAGGCAGCAGAGCCCATTTGCGAGTCCTCATCGGGGCCATGGAGCACTGGGAGAACCAGGGCGAGCAGGAAAGCTTGCTCAAGGGAGGTAATCAGCGTGGATACACAGGCACCAGCCACAGGCAGCAGCTGCTGTGTTGGGGTGACGGCTAATCTCTCCTCCTCCCTGCTCCACATGGAGGGTGCACCTTGGGCCCCGCTGCTGGAGAGCTGCCTTGCACTGCTTGGGAAAGATGCTGACAGGCCGGCTGGAGAAGCCAGACGCGCCACCATTTGGGGGCCTGGGCCACAGACCTGGTGCTGGAGGGGCTTCAACTAGACCTGCCCATCTCTGCCCTGGCCTGGATGGAACCATCGGCATGCTGTGTCCACGTCCATTTATCAAAGCCAAATGCAACTGCTTCATTTGCTTGAATGCAAACAGTTCTTACTCTGAATCAAATGCTTTTTACTTAAGAGAAATGATCAAAGGCACAGTATAGATCACACAGTCTCTGTGGTCACACTGCCCTCTACCGGCCGTGCCGGGGCAGCACCATGCCTCTGCCTGACCACCAGGCTATCAATGTAGTCTTCCACCTCCTGGCCACAACACTAACTACTGCAATCCGTGCCTAAGGTCAAACCAGCCTGGGTTTACAAACTCTCCAGACTTGACAGCAGGAATTCCTTAGTTCTCTTTCTTCCCAGAGACTGTGTGGTGGGGACTTTTCTAGCGCTCTGCTGAGGGCTCTGTCACCACCTCCTCTAGTCCTCACTGTACTCCCGGCCCGCGTACCTGACACACAGGTGGGTTCGGCTAGGAACAAATCAGATCTGCACCTGACTTCTGTTGTTCCTCATCCCCCTCTTTGGATGCTCAGCACTTTAATAATAAACTCATTATGTTCTGGACCAAAACAAATTGACTTCCTTTCTTCCTCAGGCAATCAAAATCAAGTGTTGGGTTGATGATGATGATTTATAAAAGCAATGAATTTTAGCAAGCACCAAGTACTTCCTAAGAACTGTAGGGAAAGGGCTACCATTTATATCCAGTTGTTCAGTAATTATCTCAACACCCAGCAATGTCAGAGCTTTGTAGAAATGTTTAGTAAGATAAATATTAGAGTCTGAAAAACAAGTGCACACCCACTTCGCCAGTTCACTGTATTAATAAATGTCTGTATGCTAATGGCCACCACTTTGTAATTACTCTTGTAATTGCAGAAGCCAAAGATAACATATTTAATTTCATGATGCCTCAATAAATTTAGTATTACAGCATTTATATGCAAGTTTTTCTTTTCATGATGTATACTTTTTATGGAATATATATAGAGAGATAGTTGGGGAAGAGACTCCGCATCAATCAGCTCTCCAGTCTCTGGGACAAAAATGTGTGACCCACAAGTTAAAGAAGAGGTTTAATTTGGTTCACATATCCAGAGGATTCAGGATATGAGGTAAACAACTCGAAAACATTTTTCTTTGAGAAGAGATCCCAGACAACAGATTCAGGGTCACCTACGGGAGTATTTCCTTGACCTCAGCCTTTCAGGCATTCAAAGGCTACTACAGCCATGATCCAAGGGGGCCCAGGTGGTGCTTGTTTATTATGCATGCAGAATGCAAGAGTTGTGGGGGCCAGGAAGGTTCACATCCAGGTTTCAAAGGAAAGCCACTAAGAGGACAGGGAATGAAGCTGAAGGTGCAGTGGGGGCCCCAGGAGGTTGGAGATGCCAGGAATGCGCATCATCTGCTTCCTGAAGTCACAGTCAGTGAGCAGAGCCAGCCTAGGAGAGAGGCCATGGGGCTGCATGTCAGTACCACAGGGGCAGGACCACCTGAGACCTCTGAGCTCACCTCTCACCATAGTCTGCTCCCAGCTGGCGCCCATGACCTACAAGACTGAATGCTTGCCCCGCTGTTTCACGCTCGCTCTGGTCCCATGTTTTCTCTCTCTCTATTTCTCCCTTTTGGAACATGAGGATTTACCCAGTGGCATTGCTGCATATTGGAAGTGTTTATCTTTCCTTTTGATTCTTACAGGGGTTCACAGCTGACAGTTCAGAGTGGGACTTTTCAGCAATGGTGGGACTATTAAAACTTTGTTGACACTTATAAATGGACTGAAAGTATTTTCTATAGTACGATGCACATGAGTCTTTTGGGGGCTGGGGAAAATGTTATGGTTTAGATCTAAAATGTCACCCTAAAGTCTTAAACACTTGAAGCATGACTGGATCATGGAGGAAGGCTCTATACTGATCGACGAGGTCTTCCACGGATGAGTTCATAGCTGAATATGCAGTTAGGAGGCAGGCGGGACCTGGTTGAAAGTGGGTTCCGGGGCTGTGACTTAAGAGGGTGTCTCTGGCCTTTCCTCCTCTCTCTCTGGCTGCCATGGGATGAGCAGCTGTCTTCTCCTGAGCTTGTCTATCCTGCCATTTCCACGTTGGTGACCACTAACCATGGACTGAACCCACTGGAAAATGAGCCAAATAAACTCCTTTAAGTCGCAGGTGTTAGGTATTTTGTCCCCATGACAGGCAAGAGACCAATATAGACTCTTTATCTGGAAAAAAGAATTTTAACTGACAACAGACCCAGAACAATTATTCCACCCATCCCTACCTCTGGCTGTGAGATATCATTAGGAAGAACATATCACATAATATTATGACATTATTATGAAAAATAAGCACCAAAAGACTCTATTAGTTGACTACGACATTCTCTTGCAATCAATTTGTAATAAAAAAATTAACAAAGCACAGGATGTGGTGTCTTTGTGAAGGGATGCAGGCCACTTCTGTGAAATGTCACATTTAAACAAATGCTCTCGAAACAGGCCACAAGCATGAAGTTGTAGCTGGTCCCTAAAACCCACACTCTGTAAAACTTTAACCATTTCAGAGAGTTTCAGTTTGCCAAATGGGTCACTGCTCAAAGGACAGCATTCTTTCAGATGTATCAAGTATTTGATGGAAAACAATAACTGGTCAGAAACATATTTATAGGCTATCAAATGAAATGAAAATACATAGTATCCCTGCAAGCTTTAATCTATAGAGAACTATTTCGTAATCCTGACGTTTTATGAATTCCTGTTGGACTTCCCTGCAGGACTGCAGAACGCAGAACTGGTACTTCTCTGGATGAGAAAAAGGCACAAGCTGCCCCTTAGCATCACCCCAGGATGCTGTGGTACCGAGCTTGCTGGTTCTCGCTGTATAAAAATATACAGAACACAGTGAGGGCTGGAGGGTGTGAGGATCACTTAATGACTTTACCACGACTTACAGAGTACACACAGACAGAACACAGCAGCTGAAGATCCTGTCAATGCCTGGATGGACATAGATGCCTAGCAGCGAACTACAACATCTCCTCATCCAGGTTTCGCCATAAATGGCTCCAAATCAAGTTATCTCTATTTTCCAAGAATAGCAGGTTCTCTGGGTGGGTTAATCAGGATAAGGTAAATATCTGTATTAAAATTCTCCTCTAGCACAGAGTTTTATAGTAAGATTTCAATCTACTCAAAAAATCAAATTAGCACTATGAGATGAAGCTGAAATGCTAATGTATCACAGAAAAGATAAAAATACCAAGAAAAATAAGTATACATATACAATCAGACCCAGGTGCTTAATTAAAACTTCTGGTCCATGATAGTTTAAGGCCTGTCAGGGCAGTTTTAGTTCTAAAGAATTTTATTACCACTTCTTATCAGCAGAACAAGCCCAGAACAACCAAGCACCATGTCCACGGTCTTGGACAAGAGGCCCCAGAGAGGTGGACAGTTACCCAATGGCCTGGCGCTCCAGCAGCCTCTGGACCGGGATGGTCAGTTTCCCCAGGAAGCGCTTGATGATGGGACGGCTCTTGGCAAATTTGTCTTTAATTTCAATTTCTAAGACATCAGTTAGGAGCGCAAAAAAGGAGTATTTCTGAGGACAAAAACACATAATACATTAGCTCAGAACAAAACCCAACACACTATCACACCGTTTTACATTCTAGGAGACAGTGTCTCTGAAACTCTCATGACAAAGAGCACACATTATCAGAAACCTCTGTAACCCTCCCAAGCTGTTCTCAGATAGAGCTATTAACGTTCACAGGGACCAGATCACTACGGATCTGTGTGGCCAAAGCGTCCCCTTCACTCAACACTCAGCCCTGCTTGGTGCAGTCGTGCTGGGGGGTGCTGCCAGACACCAAATCCCACCGAAGCAACTTCAGTATCACCAAGTGAGCTGCACCTTAATCTTTATTTGATATTTTGTTATGGGATGATTTAGAATTAAGAAGTATATCTGATTAATGATCATTCCTAATCTCATGGGCTTTTTCAAATTGCAAAATACCATTAAAAGTGTTCCTTTATTTAGGAGGTGGAACATTCTCAGCATATTGTGATTTCTTTGATAAATATCAAAATAAAGCAATGTTTAAACGGAATCACTGCTTAAGTTTAAAGACCCATAAAGATATTTCTTCTTGGACAAAAAAGTAAACATGTGAGATTAAGATAGGATTTCATTCTTTGTATTCTTTGCACTAGAAAAAAATAACAAAGTCTTTCTTGACAAAGAAAAAACAAATATAAAAGAGCTTTATGCATTTCCCACTTACTGAGACAAGACGTCCAAGGTGAGCTCCTGAGATGAGCACCTCACTCGATCAAGCGGGGACCCTGACCTGAGTCATTCTCGAGTCCCCAGAAGAGCCCCTGCAGCTCTCTCAATGGGACTCACACCAGCCAGCCTGAGGCACAGGGGCCACTAAATTTATTTAGTCGTAACAATTAAAGTTCTCCCAGGGCCAGACTATCTGGCAGCTTGCTGAATGGGAAAAAAGCACTGGCTTCCAATAAGAAAGCTGAATTTTAGCCCCGCTGCCTCTGAGAAGCCAGCCACAGTGCCACTTGAAGAGTGCAATTTCTTTTTTTTTTTTTAATCTTTTTATCGGTACTGGGGATCGAACTCACGACCACAATGCTTGCAAGGCAGGTGCTTATGCCGCTGAGCTAAATCCCCAGACCCTAAAGATGCAGTTTCTTAACCACCAAAACAGAGAGGCTCCTCTCTTTTGCCTCCCTGACAGGCTTGCACTGGGAATGTGGCCCAGAACTCTATGTAAATATAAAGTTATAGCTGTTTCACTATCTTGTTCACTAGACACCTTCTAAAGCTCGCCCAGAGATACAGTTTATATCTCTAGGCTTTGAAATCCATTAGAGTACATGGTATGCCTTCAGAATTATTTGTCATTAGGAGGTTATAAGCAGTTTTTAGAATCAGACATAAGAACACCGGCAACCTCCTCCCCTGTGGACCAGCAGAGGAGCCCAGCAGAGACTTCACAGGCTAACAGCGACCGAATGACCACATCTGTCCTCAGCCGCTCTTTGATCCCCCGAGCTCTCTCCCTCAAGGAAATGTTTGTACAGCATAGAGTATATCTTTGTCCTTAAATATTTAGGGTATGCTCTAACTGTGTCCCCCCAGAAATGTTCTAACACCCATCTTTACTCACAAGATGAGAATGATGCTGTCTGTGTCTCTTTGTTCATCTTCTGGCTTTCCGAGGCACCCATGGGAAAACGTGCTGCTTAATTTGGCTGATACGGGGCAGGAAGTGTGAACCACTGCCCACACCACCTGCTTTCTGTGTCTGATGGCACCCCTTCAGTGGCTTCTCCAGGGAACTCCCGGGAACCATCATGGACTGGCCAAAGCCCTCGGGGAGATCAAGTCCTTTCCCACACGCTATGACACCATCAAATTGTAAGGCAACAAAGGATCATACTATCCAGTTTTCGTCTGGCCCCAGGCTTAGTGATGGCTCTGTGTGGCACTTTCACTGACTATGTAAGATGCAGATATTTGACATATTTAAGATTTTGATATTGGGTTCACCCTGAATTTTCTGCACTTATTTTGATTTCTGACAAGATATTTCTTAGAGGCTGGGTGTCATGGCATGTGCCTGTAATTCCCACACTTGGGAGGCTGAGACAGGATTATTGCTCTGAGTTCGAGGCCAGCTTGGGTTACAAAGTGAGGTCAAGACCAGCCTGAACTGCATAGCAAGACTCTGTCTCAAAAAAACAAAAAAAAATTTTTTTTCTCTAACTGTTTATTTTGATGACTGAGTCTTTGGCAGGCCCTGACACTGTGCTCACTGTGAACCCCGCTCCCACCTCCCCAGACCTGGAGATGGTTCTTTGCAGCATCGCTAGGACACCTCAGCATCACCACGCCCTGGGGATCAGCTCCAGACGCCTCGCTGTTCAAAGGAACAGAACAGCACAGCTGAGTCCCTCGGGGGATGCCTGGGCCTGGCTTACCTCTCGGTGCCAGATGGGGTTCGTGGTATTGCTGATGATAGTCGACCTCCTCTCCTGGCCGTGGTGGGCACAGGTGGGGAAACTGCTCTTCTTCCCTGGCTGGATGGACATCTTCAGGTAAGGGTCAGGGTTGAAGAACATCCCTTTCTTTAGCCCAACTGCCCTGAGATCTTTAAAGAAAGAGAGAAGGAGGGAGGGGCAATAAAGGAGGAAGAAGGGAGGGGAAGAGGGAGGAGGAAACAGGAAGAGGAAAAGATAGGCATCCTGGGATTAGAACAGCGGTACAAAGGTACTTCATTCTTCAATCATCACACAGGAAGCTCTGCACAGGCCGTTCAGGAACCTGACAGCAGATCCCACGCTGACTGCTTAGATACAAGAGGACAGCGGCTGATGGGAGCCCCCGCAGCAGGGGTTTCCTGGCATGCTGCATACGGGCAGCCAGGCCTTCACCTCACTTTTCTCTGAACTCCTTGGAGGTCACAGGTACCCAAGTCCTCATCTTGTCTTTCACACTGCAATGCAGTTTCATACAACACCTTGAGAAACATCCTTAGCAAGTGCTTTACTCAAAATCATGCTCTTTCGTGAAAAAATGAGCCTTGTCCACATAATCAGAAAGGAGTCTGAACTAAGGTTAGGTGGACGTGAAACTTCTAAGCACACGTGCCTCAGTACCGCACTGAAACACCAAATATATTCCAGATGTGTAAGGAATCCTGAACAGAAAAACATACACCAAAAATGGTTGTAAAATGTGAATCCTACCTAGTACTTTAAATAATTGTGCAGTTACTTTTCCATAGCCCACAAAGTAACTTAAACAGCTGATGGATTAACAAATATCTGTCTGATGGGCTGCCTGTCACTCACCTTAGATTCACTCACATTTCCCACTATAAGGGGCACTGGAAGCCTTCACTGGAGTCCACTTAGTAAGGACGCTGATATTTTTTTAAAATAATCCAGCTAAAAGGTACAAAAGCGTCAGGCACTAAGCTGGCTCTTTTGGGTCCTCGAAGCTGTCCTGAGACTGTCAGCTTGGTTGCTTCAGATTTGGGAGCTAAGTAATCTTGAAAACTTGAGGACGAAAAGACCTGGTAACTTTATGTGGTTACAATCAGTGTAGGGAGCTCTTTGGTTCAGAGAGAAATTCTGCACAAGAAAGCCTCTAGATCACCCAGATCAGGGTGGGGAGCACAGCTGTGTCTGACTGAAAGTTACAGGAGCCCCCAGGGTCATCCCATGCAAGCCATTCTCCAAACAGAAGGTCTTTTTGAGGATTGGTCTATAGTTCTCTACAAGAACCCCGATTCTCTAGAGCAGGCTCGTGATGGCCCACAAGAACCTGTGACCTCGATACATGAGACAGAAACAGATAGGACTGTCCAGCGACACCCAGAAGCAGAGGGGGCAGATGCTGAAATACTCACCCAAGAAAACCTTACATTACAATACTGTATGAAACAAGGTCAGAGCTAGACGGGCATTCAGAAAACAAAACAAAACTGCTGCAACCTAGTTACCCTCATGAGCCCTGCCCGCAGCGCCTCCTAAGTGACAGAGGCCTTATTAACGCGGCACCTGCTTATTTACACTGCGTTAATACTGCCCCATATCTCCACTCGGGGTTCTTTGCCATAGAGTAACTCTAAGAGGGAAAACATAATTTGCACTTTTATTTTCTTGCCTTCCTTGAGTATGCTTACTTTAGACTCAGGGAGAAATGACATTTTTGAGCTATTAACTCTACTGCCAAACAAGGGCTCTCCCTGTAATAAAGGACAATAATATGAGCAGATACACCTGCTAAAGAGCTACGCCACTCACAAAAAACACTGCCTTCAACAAAAAGCCCTTGAGCTGCAGACTAAGTGGTAAAAGGCGTCATCTTCTTTAGATATCAGGTAACCCTGCATAAAAGCCTTTCTCAGTGAGAGATAAGACACTGATCCTAAAACACCAGGCTACTAATTATTTTTAATCTGATGATTTAGTGCCCTTTCTCCATTTCATTTCTACTCTTACTTCTCTCTCGTCTGTATGTTACTGTGCATAAATATCTGCCCCACATAATAGGCCTATGAAGGACTCAGAAGTCACCGAGGAATGAAATGCTCAGTAACCTGGTGCAGGGCTGTGGATGTGACTCAGTGGTACAGCTCTTGTCTTTGATCCCCAGCACCACAAGAAACGAAAAGAAAAAAATCTTAGTGCAGCCGTATTTGGAGAAGGTTTACAATATTAATCAAAACAAACTTTGTTTTACTGTAGATTGAAATGATCTGGTCCCTTGCCTATCCCTGACACTTGACTGTAGGGCATTTGTAGACAAACGCTACACAGCGCTTCAATGGTCTCAGGCAAATATTGCCACCCACTGCCAACAGGCTACAGCCAGGTTAGTATTTTAGAAGTAGCATTGGTCTCCCGAGTCTGTAACCATTTCTGTACAAGTCTGACTACATATAGGATAAGGAGGAAGAGCAGCCTCTCTGCAACATAGGAGAAGTGTTTGAAGAAGCATTTAGTTGTGCCCCAAAATTTATTTGCTACTCTTTAGGAAAATGCACCAGGTTTTTACTTTCCACACTTCCCCATGATGAGACACTAACATCTCCTCTGAAGTAAAAATCTCTATGTCCGTGTTGCTTTAAGAATGACACAGATCAATGAAAACATAGGGCAGTAATTCCAAACTAAGAAATACACAGACTACAAGAAAATACTGTGTCGTATACCACATATGTGAGTTTAACTTGTTACTTAAAGAAGAAAGGCATGGTGTGATCAAACTCAAATTTCCTGAGCACCTGGCTTGCTGGCCCCTGCTCCAGCCAGGGATTTCAGTGCCTGCAGCCTAAGGATTGTGCAGGTCCAAAACAAAATGCCTTCGGGAGACACGGGAGAGGGGAGTGCTGTAACAGACAGTGGTACGTTTAAATGCCATTTATACAAGCCTGGGCTAGTTTAAAATCCTAAGAGTTCCAAGTAAGACACAGCTATTGGCCAATCTGAGCCACGAGCCACCTGTTTACACCTCTGCAAAGCACCACGGAGCTGCAAGAAAAAAGCACTAGATTAAGCTGCCTCGCAGGACATGGGGAGGACCAGGTAAGACAGATGTAGGTCCTGGAAGCCCACGGGCCAGCAATGTGTGGACACCTGTCACATGTCACAGGCCTCGAGAAAGTGCCTGTTTTCAAGATCTCACTTCTAAGAATGTCTGTTTTCATTCACATTTTTTTTTTCACTCAGGAAAAGTGGATCTAATTTAAATTCCAAAACTGCTGCATCTACTGAAAAATGAAATCAAACAACTTCCAGCGACAGACATCCGTCAGACTTCACTTGGTAGACACTGTAAGATGGCATCTGTTTTAACACTGCAGTTCAAATACTGATTTCCTGAGTGGATGCTCAACTTTTGACAGATGGCTCAGGTTTTTTAAATGTGGCTTTCAATTTTTTTAGTGACCTTGCACGAAGTACACTGAACAATGCTTACACTGAGACCAGTAGACACATAAATATTTTTGTGTGTGAAAGGTTTGTCGGTATGCCCTGAGGTTATGGGGGAAATTCCCTTTGGCAGTAAAATCTGATACCCAATTCTTTAATAAAGTATTGTTAGTTTCAAGTCTTACCCAACTCAAGGTGAAACACAGTGCTTTACCTGGATTATAAACACATACCCAGAAAACAAACAAAATATCAGTCTTATCGCTTTCTGCTTTTTATGTGCACATCTCCAACAGGAAGAGAGTAGACTTTGACTTTTTCCTCCTAAGCTTCAAATTTTCCTTTCTCTAGCTGAAGAAAATACAACTTGTTTAAAATAAGCAAAGCTCATTGGTGTAATTCCCACATGCTATGGCACAGCTTTAGTCATGATACAGAGTTCCATGGTCCTTTATCATCAGAAAACCTGATAGAAATAATGTCTGGCTCTCTATTAGTAATCCAACTTTATCACAGTAAGATACACTTGAATTCCCAGAAGTGCGGCCAACAACCCCAGAACTAGTTAATATATCTTCTGAGAGTGTGCAGAAAGTGACCATCAGAGGCCTGGTGGTGAACCTGTGGCACGCGTGCGTGCCACAATGGGCCGCTTGTGTCACTGAAAGTTCTAAAAGGTTCGCCCTCACTGGACTACCCCCACCTCTGCCCATCACGTGCTCTCAAGCCGGAGGTCACGCGCGAAGGCGATCTTACCTGACAGCGTGAAGCTCACCAGCTTCCGGGAATGCAGGCTCCCAGACATGCCACCTTCTGTGCCCTCCGCCCCCATCTGAAGAGGAAAGACACAGCCAATGTTTGCAGCGGGTATCGTGTGATCCAATTTCCGGGGCACACGTGTGCTCACTAAGGCATTAATGTTACTGATCAAAATGCATCACAGCATGTTTTAAACTTTGAAATCTTGGAGTAGGGACACAATGTACATTCTCAAAGGCAAGAGTAGGATTGTACTTAAATTTAATCCTTAGCCAAAACTAAAAACTAATGAGTTTGAAATTCCTGGTGGATATGATCCAGGCTATTCGTATGTCCTTTTCCCCTTAATAAGAATATAGCTGAAATGTAAGAAATGAACTGACATTACTAGTGCTATATTAAGCATTTCCTTCAGCTAAAAAGGAAGCATCAAATTTCTTCAGATGTATTAGGAAAACCCACCATAAATGGTATATTTATGTCAGACTCATCCATATGCACAGAATGACCCTCCCTCAGCAAATACCTGAGTGTCCACGTGGGTGTCCTACCTACCTTTTGAGTTCCGTTCTATTGAGCCTTAAGTACATAGCACACATATTGTACTAGAAATAATAGGAATTTGTGATGTTATTGTACTGGTAACTTCTACTTAAAAGCTTTTGAGTAAATTATGTGTCATATGAGACCAGTAATTTATAGACTGCATAGCAAATTTAGACCTTTCTCTCAATGTATGTACAATTAATGCAAGATTTATGGCACACTAAAAAAGATAACCTCCGTGATCTTCTGAAAAAGAAGTCTGTAACACCAGACAAGACAAAGCAGAAGGCAGAATGGGTTCTGAACAGCTGGAAAATGGGAATCACACTCTAACTCCGAAGTTCAGATTAAACCTTCTACAAACATTCTTTTCTTGACCAAACTTTAACCAAGACCCTGTGAGCCTTCTGCTCAACAGGAACCGAACTTGGACTTCCATCTCCAACTTCATAGAGTTGAGTTTCAGCAAAACTCCTGCTGTGCGTTGAGAGAATCCTATGCTCAGTATGGGCACACTGGTATCCACCAAACTCCTCGCCCTCCACCCCCCGGGGGGGTCTGTCGCTGAGGCCACCTGCAACAAGGTTCTCTTAGGCAAGGATCACCCTGCCCGCTGCCCACACAGCAGCGTGTCACACTGACCCATCTCCCCAGCTCTGCTCCTTAGCTGTGAACCCCGGTTCCCACTGCTACTTGGAATGGAGCCAATTCTACACCGAGGTCTCTTTCCCCTCATTACAATAACTCCTCTGCAATCTGTTTTTATCTCAACTACCATCCAGCGCTGGTTTTCTCTGGCACCACCTCCACCTTACCGAGGCTGCAATTCCTATACTCCTTTGGAAAGAAGGTCCCATCTGGAGATAAAAAGCATCACTAATCCACGAAAAGTTGAGAAATTACAAAAGAAATGCTAGACAGAGTTCAAAGTTTAAAGTGAAAGTTCTCCTGCTTCTCTAATTCCTGCACCTTAGTCAAGACTACTTCCTGTGACGGTTCACTGCTTCTTGATCTGACAGCTCAGGGCACTATCCAGGTATTATTCTTCCACCCCACCTGTAAAACCAGCTCTTTGCTGACCACAGATTTGGAGCTCAACAGGCACCTGTGGTCTGCTGCACTGCTCTGTACCCTGACTGCTCCCTCCCCGATAAACAGGGCGAGGCCAGCAGCAAGTCAGCCAGACGACCTCATCCCACCTCATCCCGCCATCTGTCACCTCCCACCCTCAGGCCACGGCAGGGAGGCCACAGCTGAGGCAGACACACAGCCACCTGCCCAGGCACAGACAGACCCTCGAGATCCGGGCCTCCCTCCGGATACTCATGCACCTGCGGCCACTCAAGCTGCGTGAGTTCCCCAAGACTGCAAATATTCACAGCCCGCCTTCATTCACAACCCAACGAAAACAGTATAAGTAACCATAAAGAACATGAAAGTCCTCTAGTTCTTATTTTTAAAACGTAACCCATTGCTAAATGAAGCAGTTCTTGAAGAAGTCACATAAAAGCAAGACATTCTCTCTGCCAAGACATTCATCTTAAACAGCATTCAAAGAATTCAACTAAGATAATATTCAAATAATTCTATCGTCTGTTAGAATAAAGCCAAGAAAGACCAAACATGACCACTAAATTCAGGGACACCAGTGATAATAAACACCTCTGCACTCAGTGTTTAGAGAGGGTTTTTCTTTCTTTCTTTTTAATTTAATTTAATTAATTTACTTTTTGGTACCAGGGATTGGTACCAAAACACAACCCTGTGCTTGCCAGGCAGGCGCTTTCACCCCTGAGCTAAACCCCTGGCCCAACAGACCCATTCCAGGAAGCCCAGAGGCAGCACCGTGAGTCAAGCATGAGCCAGTGCCAGGTGGTGCGGTGCGGTGCCTGCAGCCAGGCCTGCAGCCCAGGGACTTCCTGTCCCTAGAGCCTGAGACAGGTCTCTCCACGTGTTCTGATGAACAGCAATGACGTCAAAGCACAAGCACAAAGCGAAGACGCGATTGTTCTTAGCCCTGGGCCACTGGAGAGGCTGTGTGACAAGGCTGTGACTGTGCGGGGCTCGTTTCCTCCCTACGGGTTTCCCCGCCGCTTCCTCTGCGTCTCTTCCTGGTGTCTGGTCTCAGTCTGATCGTAAAGCCAGCTCTGGGAACATACACGTCATGAACCAGTCACAATAACTAACCGTGCGTCCTCTACTGCAGGACCACCATAATGCTGCGGAAGGACAGGTTCCCAGGGAGACAACCCTCCCATTCTGGACATGAAGCCACGTGTCCACGCGTGGCCAGACAGCCACTGACCACCCGTCCAGCAGTCCGCCTCACGATAGTTTTGATGGCCAGCGCTGTGTCTACAGAGCTGCTAAGGTGCTGCAAAATCCACCCGAAGCAAATTAATTATGTGTGAACGGTGTCCGGGCTAGGGGAGGGATCTCAGTGCAATGGCCATGGATGGAAGCAGTGCTCGGCAGGCTGGAGCCCACCGTCTGCCTTCCTGGTACTCGGATATCAGAACTGCCAGAGTCTCAAAAACTCTGAATCTAGGAAATGCTTATCGGCATTGGTTACGAATCTCCCTCACCACAAATTTGCACAGATTTTATTGTAAATGGCTTTGCTCTTCTAGTTCTGTGACTTTTCTCTGTAGAATACTAACTGGAGCAAAGACCTGTCCAGCGCTCACTCTGGGAAATGGCAGATGTGACAGCCAACAATTGTGCTCTCTCCGCAGCCTTCGAAGTCTTCCACAGCGGTGTGTGCTGTGCTCTTATATTCTACACTAGGCTGACTACACGGGACTCAAATACAATTTTACTTGCATTTATCCTGGTGGTCGTCCCTCATGCTCTCCTTTAGGGCAAATCCTGCTGGTGTGTGTCACAGCTCCAGACTCTCCCCCATGGGACAATCTCACAAAGAAACACGACCGCGTGCCTGGCGTCACTCTTCCTCCCTGAGCAGCTACCTCTTCTCACCAGTGCATCTCCAGGGGTAGGCACCGCGCGGCCAGTGAATAGTTGTTTGAATAAATGACCGTGAGGGAAGGACTGCTGGATTCCAAGGTTCAGACACAAGCCAAGACAGCTCAGGGCAGTCTAGATTTCAATTACTTTCTGAATTTTAAGAAATCAACTTGGACACTTGCGTATCTCCAAAACTGCAACCATCTCTAAGAACGGGTACACAGAACATTCCCACATACAGTTCTGAAGATTATTCTACATTGTGAGCATTAACATTTTTTCTGTACTTTGCGACCCTCATTTTCTTACTGAATAATAAAAACTCAAAGATATACGTATCTTGGGATCTAAGAATCTCCCCAAATCACCTGACTCCAGCTACCAATGGACAAGGGAGCCCTACACTGTGAAAATGCTAGATTTATAAAATTAGTTGATTGAGTGAAAAAAAATCACAAAATTGTGTAAAACACAGTCCTTGGGCAAGTGCCATGCTAGAAATGGACATGCTGCTTTCTAAAGTCCAACACAGCCAGTTTGGAGAAGTTGCTTTCCCTGGAGTGACCAGGCTTTGCCAAGAAATTCAAGTGCTATCTTTAGGCACAGAGGCCAGCCCAGGGCTGACAGGGACCGAGCTGGGAGCCCTGCAGAGGCCACAGCGTTTGGGGTCCACAGCTCACATCTCACACCCCGGGGCAAGGCTGCTGGAGTTTGCTGGGAGGCAGATTCACCCGCTGTCTAAATGGCTGCTTTTCCTCTCCCACTCCCTGAATTTGTGTCGATTAAAGTCACCTAAGTTACAACCCTGCTCCTTCCTATTCATTGGCCACCCAGATGAGGTTTAGAACCTCCACCCTGGGTCGGTCCCTACGGAGCTGCTGAGTGGTCCCGGGAGACTGAGGAGCAGGGACTGCCCCCCACTACTGTCCCTGTAGCCCTGCAGATTCAGCCCGCATGGTCCTCACGGGAAGCACTCACCATCACAGCCGGGTTCTTCACGGTGATGCAGGGTGTGGTGGCCCGCAGGGCTCCGCTGATGCCGTGGTAGTATTTAAAGCAGATTTTTATCTCCGCTGCAAAAGAAAAGGGGGGTGGGTAGGAAATCATAAACGCTGTGTTGAGGCGAGCCACGCAGGAATCTGCTGCAGTCCCTTCTTTTCAAATCACAGGCAGCAGGTTTCACCAATTCCTGCTTGATTTTACCTACTTTTGTGAAATTTCCTGAGACAGATCTGAAAAATGATATACAAAACCAGCGTGCTGAAACTCAGGGCAGGGTGAGGGTGAGGTGGGAGGAACTTATCGAGGCAGACACGCTGCCAAAATCCACGCATCTTAGAAACTTGTTCTGTGCACTTGGGCTTGACACAAAGAAATGCAAGTGCCAATCATGGTTTGGAGACTGTAGCTACAAAGTGAGCAGGAAGTAAAAACACGCTCAGTATAAAACACAGTCACCAGCCTCTCTCTCCATGCGGAGCATCTGAGCCGCCGGAGCAGCCTCCAGGGCAGCAACCCAGCTGGACCTACCTGTGCTACAGGAGGGCTCCTGGTCCAACCGAGTCACCTCATAAAGTGAGCTGCCTCGGTGTTTCCCAGAGGACGAAAATCACTGCCCTTCTCTACTGCACCAAAAGGCCTCCTACAGAGTACTCGGTTCATTTTAAAAGCAAGATATAATTTAAAAATAGTCCTCTAGGAATCTGTATCATCATCCTCTTTTTATCAATAACCAAATTGACATTGATATTGATTTCTATCCTGGAATAATAGAACACGGAGTCTGTCCGTGATGTACATGGATCGCTAGGCAAGAATTCACACTTTCCCATCCACCGAGGTATCTGTGCTATGCTCCTCCCCACCAACTGTGCCAGGCAGGGTGAGGACCCAGGGATGGTTTCCCTGGAGTCCGGCAGGTATCTTACAGCACAGCTGCTGAGATGACAAACCTAGGAACTGAGTAGGACAGGAGACCCCAAAAAGGGGCAGCACCAGGAGGAGCAGCACAGAGTCTGGGGAGAAGGAGGACAATGAGGGTGCGGCAGGGTCAGCAGAGCATCAGGGGACTAAAGAGTCTGGCACACGGGATGGCCACGGGCAGGCAGAAGAGCACGGACTCGACTGCACCACTGCTGGGCTCCCGAGGACACTCTATCACACATTTTCCTGAACACTAACGATAATTCTGGTCACAGCTGTACAGATCCTAGTGAGCCCTGCGCCCCCACCCACAGTGCGCATGCCACAAGAGCAAATCCAAGTCAGGAGCACCGGGGCACCGAGGCAGAACAAAGCTCGGTGATGCATGTAATGTGCATGATGAGCGCCGTGGGCTCCAGCCCCTTAGTGTCACTCCCCAAACGCCGGGGGCCGGCAGGCTGTGCAATCTGCCTGCAGCAGCGCTACGTAATCAGATCCATGCTCAGGCCATGAGCAGGGTGCTCTTCATTAAGGAGAAGCGTATTTTTACAGCATCCCCTCCCAGCTCCCACTCAGGCCAGAGGAGGCCAACTGATGGGGTCTAAGGTTTCACCAGTCAGCCAGGTGACAGCAGATGAGACCCAGAAATTCAGGGATGAGACTGTAAGAAGATGCTGGTGACCAGGTCGGCTCTCCCAGCTCCCGTCCACAATTAGAATCCAGGAAATTAAAAGATTAAAAGATTTGAATTCGCAAAAACACAGATTATGTGGTCTTGATCACCAAAACCTTACAGAGCAGTGCTGCACAAGTGCCAAGTCTGGGGATTTGCACGATGTACAGTGACAAAACCATACACACACAGGCTGACCGCTGGTCACCAGAGAGAGGAAGTGGCCCTGTGTGGGAGGAGCTTCTCGTACCTGAGTGGAAAGCTGGTGTCCTGGACACCACTGGAGAATTTTCTTTCCTTCTTTCTTTCTTTTTTTGAGACAGGGTCTTGCTGTGCAGCTCAAGCTGGCCTTGAACTCACTTTGTAGCCCAGGCTAATCTCGAACTTTCGATGATCCTCCTGCCTCAGCCTCCCAAGTGCTGGGATTACAGGTGTGCACCACTGCACCTGGCTATCACTGAAGATTTCTGCCTCTCAGGGTACAGGGATGTTCCACACCAAGAGGGAGCCTTCATCATCACACACTGGGGTTCAGGGAGCCCCTGAAGGGCTCCTCACCTGGAGTCACTGACCAGCCCCCTCTGAGGGGAGGGGGCAGTGTTCTGATGACTGAGCTAAATGTCCCGGCTATGGAACAAGGGGTTCACAAGGGTAGAGAGGGATACAGTGCCCAGGCATCCATGCTGCCAGCTGTCAGGGACCTCTGTGCCCCAGAAGCCTACATAAGGCCGAGCACAGCGGGAACGAGGTCCCAGGTATGCATCTGACAGTGCAGTGCACTAGGGCCCCAATCACAAGCAGAGCCAAGGAGGACAGAGCAGGATGGGGAGGAAGAGAGGGTCTCTGCTCACTGCCCCGTGCGGCAGCCAGTCACAGGGACACAAGCAACCCGCCCTGCCAGGCTGCAGAAACAAGAGGAGCTCCTGCGAAGAACAACCAAGGAAAGCAAGGGCAGGTGGCGGCCAGGGCCGAGGCCTCTATACGCACCCAGAACAATCCGCTGCGTGCAGGGCAGGTCTAGGGTTGACAGGAAGAGACAGGGCCTGCGATACCTCACTCCCTCTCGGGTCCCTTCTCAGTGTGGAAGCACATGCGTGCAAGAATCTCTCGGATATGTTGCTTAAAGTAAAGGAGTTTCCAAACATTGCACTCAAGAGTGATCATTCTCCTACTGCCTTTTAAAGCGAGAACACATTTCTTGGTTTATGTATGGATAAATATTTCCCAAGAGATAACAAGAAACTGGCAGCTGCTTAGCACAGAGAGGGCAGACTATACTGTCTGGCCCAAAGCTGGGAAGACATTTACCTTCAGTTTGTCTGCCTTTTAATATTATATTCCTCTCACAAATTACCTGTTCAAAAAGTATCTTTAAAAGCAATCTCAACTCATCCTCACTAATCATAGCATTCACATGCAAGTACATCTCAAGCCTTATCTGAAAAAGATTCCACAGTGTCTCAGTTACTTTTCTCTCGCTGCTGAGACCCAATACCCAGCTCTCACGTTAAAGGAGGAAAGGTTTAGTTAGCTCACAGTTTGTAGAGGTTTCAGTCTGTAACCAGCTGGTTCCCAGGCACAGTGGCACGGCACAGGAGTAACCATTTATGGTGGGGGAAGACAGCAAAAGTAACACAAGAGAGTGGGGAGCCCAGCCTCTTTCTGTCCCTTACATGGTATCAGGTCTACCAGGGTCATGGCGGGGCCAATCCAATCAATGGACCGATCCATCAATCACCCACCTTAACCCCATCATTGATCCATGAATAAAATCACACATCCTAGATTCAGCCCCCTCCGGAAAAGCCCCATCTAAAACGCCAAGGCTTTGGGAGGCATCTGGACACAGCCCTAAAGCCCAGACCTCTCCAAGCAGCAGATGGTCCTGCCCAAAGACTAGGGTCTAGTCTGTCACCTGACATAACTACGAGGCCATGGAGGTGGCAGCTGTCAGCCTGTGGTCATGTAAGAAGCGCGGATCTTCCCCAGGTTTCTAGAAGTAGAGAATAATGTGGGAGCACAGGGACAGGCGGAGTGCAGACAGCTTCCTCCCGTCAGTGCTCCTGCTTCACTAGAGCAGAATAATCTAAAACATGAAGCTAAGTGCAAAATGTATTCTGAAACACGCTTTGATCGGTTGCCCCGTGTACTTCTATGAGACTTTTAACGTCAGGTCTCCTAATTTTAGCCCCCTTTTCCTCAGAGGTCACCATTGGAGAAGGAGCAAACACACTTTAATCCTTGCTCCTTTAAGATCTGCCCACATTCCTAGCAGCAAGCCTGACTGTCATTTGTACACTGTTTCGAGTTGCCCTCTCTTTAATAAGGGCCCAAGGAGCCAGGAAACACCAGGAAACTCAGCTGGACAGTGCAGATGGACCACTGCAGCCGGATAGGGCCAGAGAACCAACTGAGCCCCAAACACAAAGCAGGAGGACAGAGGACGAGGAGCCAAAGGGCGACAAGAACATGGGTGCTGGGGAGGCCCCAGAGGACGGCAGCATCTGGAGCTGGAGCACTCAGAGTAAAAGCAAGAGCCGGGCACTGCCCCCGCTGCCCCACACAGGAGCTGCCCTGTGATGCGTGCTTGGTGAGGTCCACCTGCAGCACCACATCCAGGAGTAGGACTCACTGCATCATTCCACATCTCCTCTCCGACCTCTGATCCCCCACTGAGACCAGACACGCAGGACGACACTGCTGGCTGCCACCTGCCCCGGTGGTTTGCTGTGGGGCGTGACAGTCAGAAGCACCTCAGCACCCAGCAGCATAGTAAGCAGCCCACTCCTTCCCAGCCGGCCTTGCAAGGGGGCCCGGCAACAGTGCCCACAAAGTTGTGTTCAGTAAACACCTCTAATGCACAGGGAGAAAACGGGTAGGAGGGGAGAAAGCAGGGGTGACTGAGAGAACCGGCGGCCATGGTTTATGAAAGACGACAGAGAACAAGGCAGGCAGCCTGGGTGCCTCGAGCAAACCAGCCTGAGCATACACACGTGGGACAGTTCCTGCAAGCGCAAGCTCGCGCTGGGAACAGCTGAAGGTCTCATGACGAGAAAATGCAGGAGAAGCTGCGGCCCTCGTGGGTCACCACCTCGAATCAGACCTTTTTCCTGAGTCCAGCAGGTGGGCCCTGGAAGGGTAACTCTGAGGGTTTATCCAGACCCTGCAAAGCTGTCTCACGTTCAGGCAGAGCTTGGTAAGTGCTACATCCAAGCACGCCTGGAAACTTGGACAGAGCGGTCTTCAGGGAATTCTGCCTTGCTTGCACTTCTAATAGGCTAAGGATGAACACATTTCCTTTCCTGAAGATGAAGCCCAAAATTTAAAACACTGTGGTGTTTGAGGCCGGAAGCGGACAATGCTAGGATTTCAGAAACTGTCTAAACTGGGTGTGCTGCCTGTCATCCCAGCACTCGGCAGGCTGAGGCAGGAGGATCATCACAAGTTCACAATCAGCCTGGGGCACAAAGTGAGCTCAAACCCAGCCTGAGCTGCACAGTGAGACCCTGTCTCAAAAAGACAAGAGAGAGAGAGAGAGAGAGAGAGAGAGAGAGAGAGAGAGAGAGAGGAAGAAGAGGAAGAAGAAGAAGAAGAAGAAGAAGAAGAAGAAGAAGAAGAAGAAGAAGAAGAAGAAGGAGAAGAAAAGAAGAAAAAGAAAAAGAAGAAACTCTCTAACCGCTTCCTACTTTTGAAAAGTCCCACACCACTGACTCCAGAGAGCCAAGCACCCTTCATTCACTGTGAGGTCCCCTGAGATCACTCTAGCTAGACATTAGCTCAGCATCTAAAAGACAGAAGAGACTTGATGTCTGAGTATTAGTAGAAATACTACTTTTATTTTTAACACTGCAGGCCAGGGATGTGTTGGGAGAAGTCTTGCGCTGACAGCGGAAGCCAGGCTTATTCGAAGGCAGGAACTTTCTGAACTTCCTGTTCAATGTCCTGGACTTTTCACTTGGACAACTTCTGTCTGTCTGTAAACAATCCCTTACTGAGTATGTCCAGTTTTACAATCTTGCCATGCAGTGCTCCCAATGTTATGTATGAAGAATTAAGGTATGAAAATGCTCAATTAGAGAAGAAAAAAAACCCTGTTTTTTTCACTCCCAATTTCTAGTTTCAGTGTCAAATCTCTTTGTGTTAAACAGTAGACTGTGAGACAGAGAAAACATTTGCCAAGACACCTATCCGTATTTGCTGTATTTACTGTTTGTGAAGCATGATCATGGGGACATGACTAGTCTTTAACACTTTTGTAGGAAGAAAGGAAATCAATCACAAAAAAGAGACACCCTGTAAACAGGCTCTTTCTCTGCTGCCAGGCTGTGAATTGTTACTATGTCCCTGTTTCTTCCTGGTGGCCATGCCCTGGTCAACAGGCAGCCCCGACTGCCCCTGGTGTCTTCAGCACTTGGGATCAATGGGAAAGGGGCTTCACCTGTCCCTGCAGGCTCCAGGGCAAAGTGCCCCACCCACAGTCCCTTGGACCCTGGGATTCGTTCAAGAATCACACTAAAAGTAAACCCAGCTATCTCCCCTTCCCCTCCCCTCATTCTTTTACCATTTAGTTTCCTTACTGTGTAGGAGCTAAACCAATGCTGGACAGAGGAGCAGAAGTGGACAAGAAACACTAACCACCCATCACCACCATCAAACTACCCGAAACAAATTCCGTCCACCCCTCAGCAAAACTCTTCTTACCCGTGATAATGTCAGCCACGATGATGATAATGACAGATACATACAGATATATGTATACACTCTCCACACCCATCCGCTCCCAGCTCCCTTTCTTGTAAGGTCAATAGCATTTGCCTTCCCTTAAAAAGTACACTACCCTCAAGGTTCATGCAAAGGAGGCCGCCTTAGGAGGTAGAGGCAGGGCCTGGGATGCCGCCCATCCACAGGGATGAGAAGCAATGATCTGACACCTTCAATGCCAATGCAAAGTAACAGATGCCAGTCTTATAAAATAACTTGCACATTACAGATGAGATATATGCTTCAATAAAGGTGTGCTTGCTGTGGGTTTCCATTCAATCAATTTGTAGTTTATATTTTAAGGTTTATTAAGTACCTTAATCACTAGCATTCATCCTATCTTATATTAAACCTCTTGCACCCAGAAACCTTAATTCTTCCCCAGAGCTCAACAATATAGTTTTGTTTTCTTAAATTGAAGAAAAGCAAATTCTGTAAACATAGACGATAACCTCGACTAACTACTAAGTCATTTTTCATTCACTTTCTATTTTATAAAATATAGTGTATTTAATATGTTCTTAATGGCAAATATAAAGACTTTCTCCTGCTTAACCTAGAATCAAAAGATGTGAGATTCCTGTTAATTATGTACTCTACAAGCGTTCACATTTCTGCTGCTGGCAAAAAGAATTGTGGAGTACTGTGAATGCAAATAAAATGCTCACACTGACCAAAATCTTGCATTATTCTTTCTGCTTGCATTAAGAATTACAAATATTAATTACAAATTAATATAATTAAATATTAGTTACAAGTATATCGATAATTTGTAAAGTATTAAAATAGCCAGGCATACTTTATATACTTTATATACCATGCACTCACAAGTGTATGTAAAAATACAATTTATATATATATATCTTTATGGTATATACATATACGTATTTTTCAGAATCTGTGTGCATTCCCTAATGAGCATTTTCTAAAACAATGTATTCTCCAATATGGGACTTCATGACATAAATAAAAACAAAGGACCTTTGAAATAACATCAGAAAAGATTCCACAGTCTGCCACACACTCACGTGACACTCGGTACTGAACATGCATTTCACAAGCGGTTACTCACGTTCCATGAAGTAGGGCCCAGGCTCGATTCTCCACACGATCTGTCCTTTTTGGGTTCCAGTCACACCCCTGTTTTTAGAATCCCAGAAGTTGGCTGGAGAATTCTCATCTGGAAAGAACCAAGCAAAGTTGTTTAGTTTAATTAGAACCTACCTTCTGTTAGCACAAAGACTAATACAACCTGTAAAACAGATAAGTGTAAAGGAAAACATTAGTGACCAGTACGGTTAATGACTCCTTCCCACAGATGATCACGCTGCGTGTGTCTATGTTTTCATTTATTTGGGGAAACAGCAGGTAGGGTAGGAGACGGGAAAGAAATCAGTGCCTCTCGGCGTGGCCCACTGCCCCAGACAATCCTGCAAAGAGCATCGGGTAGCATAGCAAGAGCCACAGCGCTCTGAGAGGACTGGTCCTTTCACGCCATTTGCATTTTGCACATCTAAGACTCGGAGCTTTTACTGTGCAGGCCACAAAACAGCACCGCTGACCTCAGGAAAGGGAAAGCACAACCCTCCCAAGCCCTCACTCGGGGAGTGCAGGAGGACAGCTCGCCCCAATGCACACGCTGCCACCTGGAAGGCAGCTAGGTGGTCATTTCCTGCTGGATCTGAAGGACATCCTGGAGCCACTGAGGGCAGGCTGCGTGCTGCCTGACCACTGGACTTCGTCTTGCGGAGGAAACCTCACTGTGTGTGGGCAGCCTCAGATTCCCTGCATCGAAGAGGCCATGGCCCCAGCAGGGGTCGGGGGCCGAGAGTCAGCATGTGCACCTGTGGGAGGGCTGTTTGTCACTTTCCCCGCAGCAGGGCAGGCTCCGCACCCTTCTGCTCTTCCTCTTGCTCCTTCTTGGGTGAAAGCCACACCTGTAAAGGACTCGATGGCTTAGAGTCACCCTGCCCGGGATGACCTGGAGCCTCTGAGCAAGCAACATGGCTCCAGGTTAGACACCGAGCGCAGCTGCTTCTCCTTTAGAAAGGAACCTGGTGAGCCGTGTGGCCACGACACACAGACGGACGCTCAGATTGTCACACATGTACTGGTCAGCTACTGGTGGCTTCACTTTGATCCCAACATCAGTTCGGGTGGGTTAGGAGAAGCCATCCACTGTTCTTGTTTCCAATACTTACCATCCTTGACAAATACAAACACTTCTCCCCTTGAGTGGCAGCCTGCTAATTGCAAATATAAAATTCCTACATTGTAAATAAACCAGCTAACCAAGTTATTTCATATGAGCTCTGCAAGCCCCACCACGAGCATCAGTCACCCTTTCTCGTCGCTGTCAAGCAGAGCCCTGGCTGCCCATGGGCATGGCACACTGAGGGCCTTCTTCCTTCAGGCAGAGTGGATTAAGTAACCCTCGTGCAGGCTGCAGGGACTGTAGTCTAGCCCGGGCTACTCCGACAGCAATAGCATTTCTCTGCTCACATTTTTTCTCGCAGATTGTTTTGAGGACAAAATACTTTTCCTAGACTTTATGAATTATTCTTTTTACCTTCATTTGAACACCTATGAACACCTTCTAAAAACACTCCCAGTGCAAAAGAATGATCAGGATACAATGTTACACCAAAGAAAGAATTGTAAATGGCCGGCAAGTGTAACACAGAGATAATTATAATATATTTCTTCCTGTTACTGAAAAATCAGTGAAATACCGGCCTTCAAAACCACCACCAATTGCTCCATTTACACACCGCCACCTCCTTTCCCATTTCTCTTAACAGGGTTTCCAAAGCCATCCCCTCACCGCCTCACGATGCCACCTAACGAGCGCCTCACGTGGGGCAGGGGACCCTGTATCCTGTGGCCCTCAAGTGACCGGGTTTTGCAAGCCCCACCTTCCTGTGTCCATCTCTAGCATGTGCCTTCTTGCCCAGGGATCAACTTGTCCTTACGATGGTCACCTCAAAGCCGTTCCTTCCATCCGTCACCTCTCTCCTTAATCCTGACCCTCTCCTCCTAGACCAGGGGTGTCTGCCCTGTGGTCTGCAGGCCACAGAAGCCCTAGACAGCTCAGGATGTGGCTCTGTGGAGTCATCAGCCCTGTGATGTGATCCTCAGCGATATTTGTCACAGCTAGATCAGGCAGGGCTCCGGCGAGGGTGGACTGCAAAGATGGCAATTGACATGGTACAGGGGTGGGACAGCGCGTCCCCGACTGCAGCCGGTGCCCTCCGCAGTCAATCAATCACAGCCCTCGTGTTTCAGGTACTCGTGTGACTTGGTGAATAAAACACGGCAATCGCCAATCCTAAGGCTGATCCCCAAACACAGTGGCCATTTAAATTCTAAAATTGATGACAGTAAAAGACACTGCGATTAATCTTCCTCAAAATATTGCCTTCACCTCAAGCACATTTACCTCATCAATCTTACCACTTCTAAAGAGCACTTTTTCTCTTTTTTTATTAGTGCATGTTTGCAACATGTATAATCATATTCACCTTGGGGAGCCAGGCCGCGGACACACTGCACCTGAACTATTTTTATTTCCTCTTCTCATTCCCACAAAATCTGCCTGCTTCTTATCACCTTTCCTTTTGCTCTTTTAATTATTTACATTTTGTCTTGTCACTTTCTGAAGCAGTTCCGGAAGTCCACTTCTGTGAATGCCTTTATAAGGCTCAGGAAAATTAAAAAATACCATACAGTGAATGCGCTGCTGAGCGCCATCCCACAGGACGGCAGCCCTGGGAAAACGGGACTCTGTGTCCTCATCCATCTGAGCCACGCAACTTGGCACCGCCCAACTCCCGGCTCCACCCCAGAGTCAAGATGACCACAGCAGGGAAACGTTTAGAGTCAGTTCAGGACACTGAGGCAGCCAGGACAGGCCATTAAGGATGTCACAAGGAGGACCCCAGATTTGCTCCAGAAAATGCTGAGAACGAGGTGCACACGTGTGCTCAACACAAGGAACAGAATTTTGCAAGGACCAGTGCCTTTTACTGCGATAATTTTTTAAATTTAAATATTCTCCCTATTTTCTGGTTAGACCGTGTAGTAGTATCCCAGCCTACTAACCACACGTGTATGTGCGCGCACTTATGTGTGTGTGCTTGTGAACACATGCATTTACGGCTATTAAGCACACAAGTAAGTTTTCTTATTAAACTCAGGCTTGCTTGTGTTATTTCATAAAATTACTTAGTAAACTGAGATGTTCCTAAAAGGAAGTTTGGTCACTTACAAACATTAAGCATAGCGCCTGGTTCCTAGGCAGCCCCCGGCCACGCCTTTCCACATGGAGAGGCTGACACCCGCGCTGGACAGCAGCTGTGCTTGGGCCTCACACACTCGGTGTCCATGGCTTTGCCCGTGGCTCCTGACCTCCCTTGCTGCCCCTTCTGTCCTGTTCCTACCTCCTTCTTACCAGGATGAAAGTGTCTGTGTGCAGAGACAGGAACATCTATAATAGAAAGGGCAGACTTCAGGTACCTAGGGTCACTTCCCAGTGGAGTAAAGAGACAGAGAAGGAAACACTGAGCCTGTTACACACACACTCACACACACACACACACACACACACACACACACACACACACACCTTCTCTAAATCCAATGTGGTTTCACAGGGTTTACGGGGCACGCAAAGTCCCTTCATATCTCACGTGCCTCCTTCACAGCTAGACCTCCACAGACACAGAGTTCACATCCGTGGATTCAACCAACTGCAGAGAGTGCACTGGGGGAAAAGCTGCACCTGCACTGAAGTTGCACAGGCTTTCTCCTTTGCCATTTATGCCACAAGCAGGCCACTCTTTACACAGCAGTCACGCTGTATCAGGGACTGCGACCCGTGCAGAGATGGCTCAAACACAAGGATGCGCATGCACGGCATGGCCATTTCAGATGAGGAACTTCAGCACCCAAAGACACTGGGAGGACTGCGTTGCTTACAGGGATAACTGGCTGGCTGTTTTATCTAAACACACACACACGGCTCTCCATGCCTTCTCACTTTCATGCACGCCAATCTGTGAATAGTGTGGAAGCATAATAACTGCCATATATGAACACTCCATAGTGCCTTCCCAAAGTGGTTTTATTCAGGTTTAAACATTATTCTGCAGGGCTACTCCAATTAATCCTGTTATTGAAGCTGTAATTACTTCTGTGATGTCTACTTCCCTGAGAAAGAAGCAGAGCATCGGAGCCCAGGAGATGAAGGAGCAAAGCACAAGAGCAGCTGAAGTCTCTCTCCTGGTGTGAGAAACTGCAAACATAAATAAGAACCAAAACACGTAATAAGTAGTGTGAAATAGGAAGTCATTGCTCTAAAGGAAAGGGGAATGGCGGGAAGGGGGAAAAGATAAAATGGAAACAGCTTTGCAAATAAAGAGGGAAAGACAGATCAGAGAGAGGGGAGGGGAACGGGGAGAAAAGAGGAACTCTGGGAAGAGACAGACGATGAGCGGGTACAAACTCCCCGTGATGAGTGTGATCGTTACGTGAATCCAGTAAACTTAATTAAGAAAACACAAATTTAAAAAAAAGAAGAGTGTCCATATTAACAATTGCAATAGGAAATCCTTGCTGAGCAGATTGAGAGCTTAAACTGAGTCACCTGATACAGGCTTACCACAGAATTTGGAATAGGGCTCTCAGTTTTTTCTGCTCCAAACGAGAGAGTCCTCTTTGAGAAGCTGTCAGCATTCCTTGGTGAGAAGGCTGTGTCTCTTTTGTATTTTTAACAACATAATACTAATATAAACCAACATCTTTAGAGTCAAGAGAAACTATTAAGACATTTGTCATCCAACCCAGCCTGAAAACCACGTGTCAGTACAGCAGCAGGCATTCGGGACACACCAGCGGATGGGGTACGCTAAAATCCTACACCCCCTGGCATTCACACTCTACAGAGAAGACAGACAACGTACCAGGCATACAAGCAGGTAGGACAGCACGTCACAGGGTGATGGATGGAGTTACGGAGACAGCTTGCTCAGCAGTGCTGGGGGAAGGGTCATAGTTATAACCAGGGCAGTGGGATGAGGCCTCATTGGGAAACTGCCAGAGAAGCACAGTGGCTGATGGGAGGGACTGAGCCAAACCATACCTGGCGAAAGTCCTAGACAAACAGTACCACCAGGGCTGAAG